CTGTCCTTCCAAGGAGGCACCATGTCTCTCATTTGCACCCCTTGAACCCTCACAAAGCTAGCAGACTCCCCAATTTGGTGAGGTTGCAGGTAGAGGCGCTTAACAATTTGACGGGACTACAGACAATCCTTGACTCACAACAGATCGTTTTGTGACTGCCCGAAGTTACAGCCGCACTGAGAAAAAGGGACCAATGACCATTTGTCACACTTAACGACCGTTGCAGCATCCCCAGGGTCGTGGGATCAGAATTCAAATGCTTGGCAACTGGTTCATACTTAGGACAGTCAGTGTCCCGGGGTCACTTTTGTGACCTTCTGACAAGCAAAGTCAATGGAGGAAGCTGGATACCCTTCACAACCATGTTACCTATTTAACAAATGTGGTGAGAATGGTCGCAAAATTCACTTCACAGACGTCTCAGTTAGCAAAAGAATTTTGGGGCTCAGTTGTGGTGGTAAGTCAAGGACTGCCTGCATAAATTTATCTGAGTAGAGAACTTTCCTTTTGGGAGAAAACTTAGAGAGTCACACTTGGCTGAGGGACAGACGATTGGAGGTTTCGGGGATAAGATTCCAGTCGAAAGCTGCAGTGGAGAAAATAAATTTAACAAATAAATTGGAGGCTGCACTCTTTCCTTCCCCAATTTTTTTTTTTTTTTTTTTGGATATGACTGGGTTCAAACCCAGCTTATCTCTTTGCCCAATGCCATCAGACCCAACTTGACCTTCCCTTTTCTTTTCTTTTTTATATACCGTACTTTCCGGTGTATAAGATGACTTTCGAAAGCGTTGAAATCGGCGCCGAAGTCAGGGGTCGTCTTATATGCCGTGTCGTCTTATACGCCAGAAATAACGGTAGTTTCCAGGGTATAAGATGACTTTCTAGGCATGCAACTCGGCGCCGAAGTCAGGAGTCGTCTTATACACTGGGTCGCCTTATACGCCGGAAAATACGGTATATTATAAGTTGCATCCATTTATTAGATAGAGACCTCCTCATCTGAAATATTTGTTTATATAGTATATTTTTCTTGTTAAATAAAATGAGAAAGCTTATAACTATTTGCAGACCCATTAGGTAAAGGGAGAACAATTTATCAGGTTTTTTTTTTTTTAATTTTATGTTTTCAGCATCCAGCCAGGGTGGATTTTTATATAATGTTGGAAGTTTGGGTCATTTTTTTCCCCCTTTTCCCCCTTTTTTATATACACATTTTTTTCTTTTGCTATTGCTGTTACTGTCAGATGTATGGTTTTTTTTCTGGGTTTTTTTCTGTTTTGTATTTTATTCCCATTGATAAAACATCATACATACATATATATATTTATTTATTTATTTACATATTCCTCACTGTATGAATGCTTATAAATCAAGGGCCACCTGTACATTGCAGTATTAGCCATTTAACTTGACATAAGCAGGTCTGATCCTGCTTGGTGTTTTTTCCAAGCTTGGCCAAGGACAGCTAGATGCTCTTCCTTGCAGTGGTAATTCTAAACTGCTCCCCAGCTTGCCTTGACTTCTGGTTTTTGTTCTGTGGCCTAAGATTCGTCTTGTTGAATTTGGACAAGCCAGCCGTCATCAGAGATTTCCTTGCGTGGCTCTTTGGCTTTCATGCTCCTTTCCTCCCGAATCCTTGTCCCAATTTTTCCTGCAAGCAATGTGATCTTTGCTTCCTGCTCTCCGGCCAAAATGCCTGAGTCAGAAGAGCAGTTTGGGCTAGAAAAAGATACAGAACGTGATCCGACAGCTGCACAGGCTATCAGCCAGAAAAAGCTCAGCGTTGCTCTGTGTCCAAATCTCTACTGAACGGGGTTGGGGTGGGGGCAGGAAGTTAGGAAAGGAAGGGAGATGATCCTGGCTCTCAACGTGAGCCCTTGTCCAATTATGGTTTCTAAGGATAGAATCCCACAACGTGCTCAACATGCTTATCTCATCAGCGCATTCCCTGAGTTCATCCAGCCCATTGAGTCACAAAAATGAGTGGGCTGGATTCACACCACCCCCCAAAAAACCCCAAAGCTGGAAATGCTGCTTAGCAGGTGGTGGATACAAACGGAACTGCTTGGTTTTGTAACTGACCTGGTTAAACATGTTGTGTGAAATAAGCTGCATTTGGTTCCATGACTGTGAATTATTTGACATATTTACTTTAATTCCTTGAACTATTTTGAGCTAGCCTAGCTGAAATCTTTCTATGGGGTTTCCAAGAGAATAAACCTGCAGCACCGTAAGATTATTTGTGGTTGATGAGTAGATGGTTATCCCCGGAATCCAAAAAGTTAGTGAATATTGTATCCAGTTTTGATCGCCGCAATATAAAAAAAATGTTGATACTCTAGAACAGTGGTTCTCAACCTTTTTAATGCCGCGACCCCCAACTGGTCGTTAGTTGAGGACTACTCAACCGGTCGTAAGTCGAGGACTACTCAACTGGTGCAGCACCGTTTGCAGAATGGGACTTTTGGCGGGCTCACAAGGGCAGAGACAATTCCTATTGGCTTTCAAAAGCCAATAGAATAAAAGGGAGGAGCACAGCTAAGGAAAAGGGGGAAAAATAGCGGACTGTGTTGTTTGGCGACCCCCGTGAAATGGTCGTTTGACCCCAAATGGGGTCCCGACCCACAGGTTGAGAACCACTGCTCTAGAAAGAGTGCAGAGAAAATCAACAAAGAAGATTAGGGGACCGAAGGCTAAAGCTTATGAAGAACAGTTTATAGGAACTGGGTTTGGCTAATCTGATGAGAAGAAGGACTAGGGGTTTCATGACAGCAGTCTACCAATATATAAGGGGATGACCCAAGAAAGAGGGAGTCAACCTATTTTCCAAAGCACCGGAAGGCAAGAAAAGAAGCAATGAATGGAAAGTAATCAAGGAGAGAACCAATCTAGAACTAAAGAGAAATTTCCGGACAGTGAGAACAATTCATCAGTGGAACAGCTTGCCTCCAGAAGTTGTGGGTGCTCCACCACTGGAGGTTTTTAAAGAAGAGACTGGACAAAGCCTTTGTCTGAAATTGTAGGGGATCTCTTACTTGGACAAAGGGTTGGATTAGAAGACCTCCAAGGTCCCCTTCAGCTCTGTTTTTCTGTTAAATTATGCTGCCCCCAAGTTGGGTCGCTTCAGCAGAGGATCAGATCAGCCGGTGCAGAGAGAAAGTTTATCAGGAATTATTATTTATTTATTTTAAACAAGTTTTATTGTTTTTTTCATTTTACAAACAAGTGCTTAAGAAACAACATGGTGGCTGGGCAATCAGTTGTCTACAAAACAAAGTCATACTCATAAAAGTTCAGATTAAGTCATTAAAAACCTCCTCTCTTTTCCCTCTAATGACATATTATATTCAAATTGATATATTTCAATACAACTAAATCAATCATAACAATCCTCAATAATCTTTCATCTAAATAAATCCACAAATCCAGATCCTGTGTTAAGTTCGACTAATTTCACTTGCTATGTTCCATATTTCTAATCTAAATACCTAGTTAACACTTCAGGAAGCTCCCCATAACCTTTTCCCTTAACATATTCAATAAACATTTATTTATATCATTTCTTCTTTTTTCCTATTCCTCTTCCATTACAAAATGACTATCAGTTCTAATAAGAAAAGAAAATATTAGTTCAAATCAGAAAGGAAAAAAAGAACAAAGAAGAAAAAACAGAAACAAAGCAAAAAAGAGAGAGAGAGAGAAAAATACCTTTCTATTTCTATTATTCTTTATAATCTAACAATCAATCCCTCAATATCTGTATCAGGTTTCTTTAACATCCTCCCAAAATTACTATACCCAAAACATATTAATACATAGACAAAACAACTTATTATTAAATTCAAACGTTTAATTAATTTTTATTCAATCTAACCTCTTATTTAACTGTCTTAAGCCATAAATCACGTGGAGATTTGACTTTTCAAAACAACAAGTTTATCAGGAATTATTAAGCTCCTTAAAGAATAACACAGCTCCAGATAGCAATAGCACTTAGACAATGTACCACTTCACAGTGCTTTACAGCTCTCTCTAAGCAGTTTACAGAGTCAGCATTTTGCCCCCAACAATCTGGGTCCTCATGACTAGCTGTCTAGATGACTAAATGATTACTTGTTGCAGGAAAACAATAGCGAAAACTTCTTGGCTTCCAAGAATCATCTCTTGTGGCAACACGAAAAGGCTTCTCAAAACCAGATTTCCTAAGCTGGGGATCCTAAGAATTGTGGACCCAACACAATTGCCTGCCTAGAGTCTGATGCAACCTGGGCTTCTGAGGGTTTTATTGTCTGCAACCTTGAAAAAAGGACTTGGTTTTCGTTCTGTTTTGATCTCTTTCCCGCTCACGTAGAACCGAGGTACACTCCCTTGTATGTTTGCGGAGTTTATGCATGACACCTGCCTTTGGAAATTTGGCCTTATATGGAGAGATGAGTGAAATGGCAAAGCGTATTATATATTCATTCCTTCAGCTGAAATCTGTACAATCCATAGAGCAATATCTCCCCCTGTGGGCCTTGTGCAGTCTCTGACTCTTCCCTACTCATTCTCACCACCTCCCCTATCTAGTTTGAGCAGAGATTTATTTTTTTCCTCCCATCAAACCTGCAAGCTCATTAAAGAAAGAATAGCCAAGTCAGGAATTCTGTGATAAAGTCTTTCACAGCGTTCACTTGCAAACCTAACAATTTTAGTGACTTTCCATTTTTCTTCTTGGAGCTTGGTCTAGCATTTAAGGCTGCAATGGTACGCGTTTGACCAAGAAAATTGGCTTGTTGAATGCTGGGGGCTTTGCATGAACTCAATAACTTGGTTATTCCAGGTAACTGGCTAAACACAGTCTATAGTTCCTTCTTACTGAGAGAAGGACTGTCTTTCCATTCGTGATGATCTCTCCACCGTCCCTGGTGTCCAAAAGGCTGGTGGGTGCTAGAATAGGAAGCCACACTCGACACTTCCAAAAAGTGTGTTCTTCTTTCTCTCTCTCTCTCTCTTAGCAATGTCTCCCTGCAAGATCATGAAGTGCAACTCGGAATTTTTGGCCGCAACCTCCGGGACGCAGCCCCCGGCCCCGGAGGATGCTCCTGAATTCTGCTCTGCCCTGCGTGCCTATGCCCTCTGCACCCACCACACGGCTCGCACCTGCCGGGGAGACCTCTTCTACCACTCTGCAGTCCATGGCATCGACGATCTCATGACCCAACACAACTGCTCCAAAGATGGGCCCACCTCCCAGCCTCGCCTCCCCCCGCTGCCCCGGGGTGACAGCCAGGAGCGCTCGGACAGCCCCGAGAGCTGCCATTATGAGCGTAGCTTCCACAAACACTCCTTGCGCTCCAACTACACCCACTGTGGGCTGTTTGGAGACCCCCACCTGCGGACATTTTCGGACAGCTTCCAGACATGCAAAATCCAAGGGGCCTGGCCGCTCATCGACAACAACTACTTGAATGTGCAGGTCACCAACACTCCTGTCTTGCCTGGCTCACTGGCAACGGCCACTACCAAGGTAGGAATGTCCCTGGAGCTTAGCCTGGCTTGGGGAATCTGCCCCCTGGTGGGTGTTTTGGGAAAGCTGCTTTGCTTCACTTCTCACCGAAGTCAGTTTGAAAGATAACTATTGTCCAGAGCTATTTGGAGACCAGTGCAGCCTTAGAGCTGTTCCAGTAGCTACTGAAGTTAGCAATATATTTGTTCAGATTTTGTGAATTAAGAGGGTTCTTAAGTGCTGCTTGTAAAAGAGGAATTTTAGAGGGAGATTCTTAGCTGGAACTCACCTTGCGTTTTGTCTGCCTTTCTTATGTAGGGGTATTTTTATAACTGAAAACATAAGTAAGAATAAAGTAGAATGAAGAGTCAAATATATTGCCCTTTAAAGGGTATCCAAAATTTCCAGTCAACTGAAAAGTTGGCCTCCCCCAGTTCAATGGCATCATCAAATTATTAATCAAACCCCTAAGCTAAGCACTAAAAATATTTTAGGACAACTAGCAGAAGAGAGAAATTGAGCGTCCAGGTCTGATGCCACAGACGTGGATGAATTGTGAACAGATCTAAACCATCTTGCCAAAGTCAATAACCTTTTGCCTTCCAATCCCTCCAGCTCACTATCATTTTCAAGAGCTTCCAGGAGTGTGTGGATCAAAAGGTGTACCAGGCAGAGATGGATGAACTCCCAGCAGCCTTTGCTGATGGCTCCAAGAATGGCGGTGACAAACATGGTGCCAATAGCCTGAAGATCACCGAGAAAGTCTCCGGCCAACACATTGAGATCCAGGCCAAATACATTGGCACCACCATCGTAGTGAGGCAAGTTGGTCGCTACCTCACCTTTGCTGCCCGGATGCCAGAGGAGGTCGTGAAAGCTGTGGAGGACGGAGACAACCAGGGCCTCTACCTCTGCCTCCGGGGTTGTCCACTCAACCAACAGCTGGACTTCCACGCCTTCCCTTCTACCCCAAAGGCTACTGAAAACCGCCCTCGCTGGAAGGGTTCAAACCCATCTTCTTCACCAGAGGTCTTCACGTACGAATCAGCCACAGCCAAATGCAAAGAGAAACTTCCAGTTGAGGACTTATATTTCCAGTCCTGTGTCTTTGACCTCTTGACCACAGGTGACGTCAACTTTACCCTGGCTGCTTATTATGCTTTTGAAGATGTCAAGATGCTCCACTCGAACAAAGACAAGCTTCATCTGTTTGAAAGGACACGAGACTTGGAGTCGGGGGATACGGCCACCTCCGAGTTTTCCATGGCTCTGCTTCTTTCGCTCTTGGCATTCCTGTACTTGAATCAAAGTCCATCCCTTTTCTTGTAGACTGGCCATAGACACACCTGGTTGAGTTGGGAAACTGAGGAACACTATTATGGTTTGGGGCAAGTGTGAAACTGAAGCAACCAGTGATTGTGTTGTGTCGACCCAGCTATGTCTGGAAAACAAGGCATTGAATGACTTTGCATCTTGCTGTCAACGAAGGCTTCCCCCCATGTGGAAAGGTTGCCAGGGGACTAGAGGTCACATCAGCCCCCTTTCTTCTTCCTCCAGTTGCTACGGATGATGGAGAGCTCTTGCTTCTCATTTTTCCTTGAACACCCCTTTCCCTGACAACGGCATTTATATAATAGTGTTTGGAGAGGCAACTAGAACTGTTGCTTCTGGACTGTGCAAATTGTGGCTTGGAGACAACTGTTCAAAGACTGTTCAAAGAGTCCTTAAGTGGGCAGGCATGGGCAGAGTCCCACGGCATCCTCCTCATGGAAAATGAGTTTGTGTGGTTGCATCCTTGTGCATGGGAGCCCGCTGGTGCACACCTCTCTCCAGACTGACTTGGGCAGCTGCTGGCAGCTGCTGTTGGGTGGGTGGAGGTGTATCAGTGGTATTTCCCTCTGCTTCCAGAGGGATGGTGTCTGGGAACCGGTCTGCAAGGTTGTGATTGTCCCCTTGTCCATCCTCTGGGCAAACACCACCCCTACACACTCATTTCCTTCCTGCCTGCTCCATTTTAGTCTCCTTCATAGAAAATGGCTTCCTTTTGCTTTAGCAGAGAACGAAGTGGGGAGGAGTGGGTGGAGTTGCCCTGGTTTCATGGGCAACGTGAGCAGATTGTGTTCCAACTCTTGGGCGTGGTTCGAGAACCACAGTGCTTGCCCTGTTTTCAGACCCGTTGTCCACTCCTGTCCTGGTACTTAGGAAAATAAGCTAGGGAACTAGGCCAGTATTACGCCAGTCTGTGCCACCTCCAGGTGCAAAGCTTCTGGTTTACATAATGCTCAACTCTTTCATTTTGGAAAACAAACTAGGCCTATCTATAGGAGAGCTGCAACATTGTTTTCAGCTGTGTCGGTTTTCGGATCATAGTTGCACCTTCTTCCCCAGTGACTTCTTCCTTTCTGCTTCTGCAGTGGGTATCATGAGCTGTTCCGGTCACTCCCCTGCTGTGAAGGCTGGTAGCTGAGTGGGTGGCATTACTGTACCATTTGGGTCTTGTGTTATCTTCAGGAAGCTCGCTCCAAATTGAGCAGCCAATTTAAGCCAAAAAAATTGGGCTGTGCGTTTCCCAGAAGACGGATAGGCCTCATAAACAATGCCACTGTTTTATTTGAGGGATGAAGGTGGAAATGGAAGGTCTGTCTCAGTATTTTGGAAACACCAGTTTACAAGATGGACCCACTTTACGTTTGATTCCTTGTATTTTTCATTGTACAAAACCTGAGCTAAGGATTTTCTGAAATGTTCTGTTGGGTTGAGGTCAAGGTGCCAGATGAGAAGTCTCCCATTCTAAAACTTATCCTGATCTCTTTCTATTTTGAGTATATATCAGGGTGGGTGTTTCCCCATCCTTGGGAAGGGGATGTATTGTGTGGGTTGGTTTGCTGTATACATTGACAACATGCCAGTTTTGAAAGTGAGCTCAACCTGCTCCTAAATTGTTAGCCCTATCTGACCACCACAACACCAGGATATCCAGATATATACAAAGCCTTGCTTTTCTATACTTCAAGCATGAACATCTGTCTGATCATCTGCCCGCTCATATTTTATCTTTTTTTGTACATACAGTAAGTTGAATGCATACTAAATCTCACATATGGTCATTTTGCCATCCTAAGCCCTTCTGTTTTTGAACTTCTTGGAGGAATCAAACACTTATTTTGTACCAAGAACAATCCAAGTCCACTTGCCCAATTTTCATTGTCGAGCTGAGTCCTTTTCATTCCAGTTTCACCGTGGGTAATACTCATTCAACAAAGAGACACAACGGTGTAGCCACTGGATGCAGATATTTGCTTGTTGTGATACATAGAGTGTTGTGTTGGCCTAGCGTGAGTGAGCAAAGAGATGGGATTCTCCAGCTTCCTTCCTAAAATATTTAAAGGAACAATTTTATTACTTCTCTTCATGATTGGTTCATAAGTGGACGTGGTTGTCTTCTCCCTTTGGTTTATATTAGTTGGATAAAACCAAATTCGGTTCACTCAGAGAGGGTCGTAAAGGAGACAGGGTGCTGTCTTCCCACATTTTCAGATGTCTAGAAAGTCAAGTCAAGATGGATGTCTCTGTGTGCCTACACTTAGCTAAAAAGTACCTTGAGCAAACAGTGCTAGGGTTTTGTAAAATGGTAGGTTAGAATATCTATCAAGTTATGTTAATGGTTCATCCCACAGTATTGTCTCTACCAGGATGCTTACATCCTCCACCTTCTAAAGTTGTAACTGTAATTGCTCTGAGAGTAATTGCAAACGTGTAATCTAGATGGACCTTCTCCAACTTGCTGTAGGTGTTCAAAAGAAGCTAGAATGACACACATCCATCACCATATAATTGCATCTGTAATGAAATCAAAACACAGGTGACATTCTGGCATTATTGGGACTTCTAACAAATGCCTGTGCAAAGAGGTGTTTTCCACCGTGGCCTTTTTGACCGTAGATTGGAATCCCGATAGATTTGGAGAAGAAAGATAGGAAATCTGTTCCGGTACTAGTTCAATGGATGTCCCGGGTTGGCTGCCATAATTTTCATTTAATTTCAGGGCTTGGTGGTACCGGGGGGGGGGGGCAGGCTGTCCACACAGCACCTGGTTGCCAAGCTTTATCACCGTTGACCCTTTTTAAGATAGAAGTTTAGGTAAATCATAGATGGTAGATCACAGGGATGAATGACTGTGGGGACTGAAGATCAGCTTGCCTTCATAATTCATGCATGCTTAGATAAACCCATGGCACCTGTTCCCATTCAGTTCTGAAACACAATGCATTAGCACACTAGTTGTCCAGTTTTTCCAAGACTTTCTCCAAATTTCCATCATTATCTCTTGCAGCTTCTTCCGAGCTATGACAGAAGAAATGCAGTGCAATTTTTTTTTAATGTTTTGCCCAAGTAGCATTTAGGGAACTGGATAAACCATATATGGAAATCTTTGGACGACTTTATACACTTCAGCAAAGGAAACCTGAGATTTATGAGACTTATGTTTGCAATGAAGGTGAGAACTTGCCCCTCACGTGAAATTTTTCTCAAAATAGCCTTCCCCCAACCCAGATGCTTCTAGCCATGCTAACTACAACTCCTATAATCCCCAACCAATGATGTCACTACGAGAGGAGGGGGATTTTAATCCAAATTAACTGGCCACTATCAAAATGATAGGGTTTTTTCTTTTAGCATTTCCTAAATCAAAATTCTTAAAAACAGTAAAATTTTATAAATGGGGAGGTTTTTCTTAACCAATTTTTCCTCATTCCCTTCAATTTATTTCTCTGTGGTGAGCTCTAAAACCATTTCCCAGGTATTGCAATATCGTTTCTGAAGTCTCTAATTATTAGCAAAGCACTTTATTTTTTTTTATTACCTTCAGCCAAATTTTGGCTTCTGAGTGAAGTCAGCCAATGTGACCCAACAGGCTCAAAACGAAAATCTGAACAGCGACGGGGAAAGCGCATAACAAACACACTGCCTCCCTTTCCAGTTTATTGCATGTGTGTGGAAATTGTATGGGGTGTTGTGATGTAAATACTGTAAATTATTTATTGATTAAAAAAAAAACACAAATTTCTTTTTCTTCCCAATAACGCAGCCATGAATTTCTGTTGATGCAATCTTTAGGACGAAGAGAAAAAGAAGGCATGAACCAGATCACGTGTGCGTGTGTTGAGCGAGCTAGTTCACGATTAAAACCAGCTCACCTTGCTGCCAAAATAATTACCAACTTCAGAAAACCAAAGATCCATAAAAATTAAAATGATGTGTCATTCGCTTTTGGTTAGAATAGATTGTGTTGGGGAAGATAGCTTAGGTCACATACAACTTTTGGCCTGATTTCAAATCTCTGCACTGAGACCTTTTCTAAAATACTGGATTCTTTTTTTCAGAGAACAGATCAATTTGATGTCAGAAGCAAAAAGGGAAAAAAAATCCAGAAAATGTCAAGCAATATGAAAAAAGGAGGTGAAGAAGAGGAAAAAAGAAGGACTGAGGAAGATTTTATCATCACCATCTGGAACCGGGCTTTATGTAACAAAGCCCTCAATACTTTCAACACAACTCAAACAAGGCACAATTTGAGAAAACCATGAGTTAAACAATCGCAGAGAGCAACTATAGAAAAAAAAACCACAACGGAGAGGTGGAAATTCCAATTTATGGCAAACTCACTGATCTTTTAATGTACAAGAATCTAAAGAACAGGAGCTTAACAATAGAAAAACCTTAATAATTCTTTAAAAACAACATATTTACATCAGATGTCATTAAACAGTGGCAAATTCCTTTCTCAAATATAAATTAATATTAATTACTGCATTTAGTCCTTTAAGTCCAGGACTGGAATTTATTGAGTCTTCGTCTCCTGGCATCATGATAATATCTGGAGGGGAAAGAAGTAATCAAACATTCAACTCAAAGAAAGAGGCAAAAGGACCGTATCATGTGTCTATGGAGATTCTCAGTCATCCAGGTCATAGTTATCCCAAGGATGCTTTTTCACAAGGCAACTGGATATCACATTGGCTTGGAAAAGGGGCAAACCTCCACTGATGGAGCACCCAGAACCCCAGTAGAAAGGTAGCTGATTAAGTGTTCTCGCTGTCAGGAAATTTTTTCGGTTAGATCTCTTTTTAATGAACTTCTACTCATTACTTTCTCTTCCACAGGCTAAACATACCTATCTCCCTCAACCCATTCGTAATACTCAGGAGACTTAAAATAAGCGTATCTGGGTTTTGTTGACATAAGATGGGCAGAGAGATCAGGCTTTCAATATTCTGTTATTATATCCTACAACAGTACAGTTCCACTAGTCCTTGCCATCTCTGCTCCGTGATCTGGCTGACGAACACCACCGCTTTTGGCATGCTGATTCCTGCAGAAGCCCAACGGTGCAGCCGAGTGGCCTGCATATCACCTCACCTGTATTCACGCTGGTCCCGGTAATCTCGTTCACTGTTGTACTGCTCATACGGGCGTTTATAAGACGTGTAGCTTGGCCAGTAGTTTGCTGAGCTCCGATATTGTTCTGGGCGCACCTGGCGATTCGTATATTGGCGCTCCTTGTACCAAGGCTGCTCGTATGGGTGGTAATAGTGTCTGTCCCAACTTTGAATGGCATTGCCACTATAATTAAATCTGTGGTCCCTCTGCCATTCGCTCCGTTCTGCATGACAAGGAGGGGGAAAGAAGGTAGCACTCTTTTCACAAGAAGCCCAAGGATTTTATCCACTTGGACTTCATCATCTATACTCCACCTTTGTCTACCTTTCATTTGATTTTTATTATCTCTTTTTAAGAGAATCAAAAAGAGGAGGAGGAGGAACAATAGGGAACATAATAATAATAATAATAGCATCAGTAGAAGGAACAGCCCATCCAGAGTTAAATTGGGAGGCCCTTGAACCAGATGGCCCATGTAGTTCCAGCAAGGGGATCAAGAATAGTCATGCATTGCCACCTCTTCCATCTCAGGAAGCAAGATGGGACCTCAGGAAGAAGGGAAGAGCCTCTCTGGTGTTCCAGAAGATCTCTGTCAGATCTGCCATCACACTGCTTCAGCCCTCCTTTGCTTTGACGGCAGCCTGCCCTAAAATATGGGGAGGGAAGATGGTGGGATGCAGGAAGGGGGATTGACAGGAACCAGAAATGCCAACCAAAGACAACAGTTGAATGACCCAAGGAAACAAGCATGGGAAAGGAATATGAATGTCCACCAAAGAAGTGCCAAACTTTGGGAATTGTTACCAAAACACCTAATTTGACCCACATTGGACACTAATAAGGTGACCAGGGGGAAGGGCTTGGGAGGAAGGGAAAATTACTGGGAAACCTCAGATCTAGCTTTGCTTATGCTGACACCACTTGCCTTTAGTAAAAGTATATCTTTTGCTACAAATGGAATTAAGATTTTTTCTTTGCTAAATGCCCAAGCTGCGACAGGCCTGACAACCTCTCACCTGTGTTGCTGAAATGCCTTCTACTTGACTGCTTGTAGTTCTCCCGTGGATGTCCATGCATCTGGGGAGGGTGAGGAGGTGGCTGCTGCAGCTTTTGAGCATGAGGGCTATGTGGGACAGGAGTCATCTGAGCATCCCGACTGGGCCCAGGAGCTTCTGAATGAAGGGGCCGCTTGCCGCTCGTTGCCTCTTCCTTCTTCTTCTGTTCCTGCCGACAACATCAACGGGAAACTCAAAAGGCGAACATTAACAATTACATGGGTTTTATTAACCAGGAGTTTGACCCCCAACCTACGTATCCTGAACATTGAAAGGCCACCTACCCTAAAAATAGAATTTCTTCTCCTCTCTTCTACAGCCCAACTTCTGGCTCTTAAGAGAGCAATGACCCAGCCAGGAGCAAAAAACGGAAAAACGAATAGGGGAAAAAAAATGCAGAGTCCCATCTACAAGTCTCAATCACAACTTCCTCCAGTTCCTGAGGTTTTCTTTTGCACGAGATGCTCCCTTTCTTTCCCTCTATTTATATTTGTACCTCTTCCATTTTATCACACAACACAAACATATGCACAACCACACACAACCCTGTCCTTACCGCCAGTTCCTGAGCTCGTTTTTTACTAGCCATCTTGTATACTTTATGTAATTTCTTGGCGTTAAAGTCAGTGAACTTGGATGCAAACATCCAGAGGTTGCTGGAAAGAAGTGAAAGGGATATTTTAATTTTCTCTTTTTACGAGCTGGGTCAGAAGCCTGAACTTTTCATGCCAGAGGAAAGAGATTCCCCCCAAAAGCCCTGGAAGCAGTAATGGAGAGGTGTTTTATTCTGGGGGGCCCAAATCCCTTCTTACATCCCCTCTGCTTCCAAAAATGTCTTGCTGCAAACTTGAGTCATGAAGAATCCTGAGATAAAGTCAGCAGATTTTGATCTAAGCACGACATAACCCAATCCGCTACTTCCCTTTACTACTGCAGATGCCTGTATCATGAGTTTTCTAGGAGTTTGGACTAAAATGTGTATTTTCTTTTTAATCCTTCAATGTATTTCCACGTAGAGGAATTCAACACGATCCAACAACTGGAGACTGCATCTCATTGGCAGCATTATCACACCTTTGAGTGTCAAATCCCTCAAGGATCTTGAGACAACTGAAAGATTGCAAGCGGTCACGGGAATTCAAGGGGAGTTAGATTTAGTTTTGTTTGTGGCTATGTAGAGCTTCTAGGCTGCTTCCTCTTTTAACTCCATCCCCCAGGTTCTGCCTCTCCTTTCCCTACACCTCCAAACTTAAAAAGACACCTGATGTGCTGGTCTGACTGCAACATCAGGAAGAGAGAGAGAGAATTTGAGATTGGTCGGTAGGCAGATTACCTTCTCCATACATTAAGAACTTCCTGTTCAGTGTGGTGTTTCAAACACTGAGCAATGTGGTCTCCTATCTTGAGCAGACAACTCCGAGTTTGCTCCAGCTGCTCTTGTTCTGTAAGTCCATTTTCTGGCTTATCCAACTGCTTCAGGGCCTTCTTGACTGGCCTCAGCTGCTTTTTGCACTTGGAGACAGAAAAAACAGAGGTCCACGTTAGTCTGGCAGCAGAAAAGAGGAAGCCTCAGATCCAGGCAACCTTTTGAGGCAAGGTTCCCATTTTGATGGGGGAGGGGGTCTGCTGTGAGCACCCTCTCAAAATGGCAGCCACAGGAGTCTTCTTCATTCACAAGTCACCAAGCTGTAGGGAGGATATTTTTTGAGTTGATGGGGCATCCTTCTTGCAAAGCAGAATCTCGCTTTTCGATCACACTCTCAGCAAATCTACAATTCTCCTGTTTTAGAGATGAACTGGCTGGGAGGAAAGTAATTTTCTGCTGAGGTGAATATGCCAGTGGTCGGGGTTTGGCTTTGCAGCATGTCAGCTATCTTAACTCAGAAGGGAAAGAAAGAAAGAAAGAAAGAAAGAAAGAAAGAAAGAAAGAAAGAAAGAAAGAAAGAAAGAAAGAAAGAAAGAAAAATTGAAGGAACCTGAGGTATATCAAGCACAACATCTGCACCCACAGGGTATCAAGCCCCAGGGAGCTGGGCAAGATCAAGGCATCGAAAGCTACCCAGATTTCAGTCTTTAAGACTCATCTGTGGTACTCATAAAATCTTGGAGAGCATACAAGAGATTTCCCATCCTTCTTTAGGTGAATTCCTTAAAGTGGAGGAAAAATATTTTTTGTTTTGATCTAGAGTCTAACAGAAGATTTTATTATAGAGGCAGTCTTGACTTACAACCATCTGAAGGCCTTTTTTGTATCCTTTTCTCCCCACTTCTCATTTTTCAACTTTCCCCCCCCTTTCCCCCCCATTTCTCATGTTTAAATCTTTTGGGGTTGGTTAAGTTTTTAATCTTACCTTTCATCGAAGCTTAATAAAGTTGATTTATTAAAGAAGAGGTAAACTGATTTTGTAACAAAATCTTCCCCTGGAAGCTTTCTAGGGTCAACGATCGGCCCTCTTTTGACTTTTCCCCAGAGTTCCACCCCATTCCTCGAGAAGACTCACAATGGTGAAGGTTGCATGGTCTAAGTCATCCTCTTCCTCTTCATCAATGGGGACAGGCTCACTTCCTGCCGTGATGTGGACGGGACCCTGAGCCAGCGTCTTCTTCCCTTTGTGGCCAGATTTGGCCTCGTTGCCTTTGGGCTGTGAAAGGACAAGAGGAGATAGCATCCCTCTAAGCAGCAGCACAGGAAGGAAAATCACAGATGTGCCAAGAAGGAAGTGGAAGGGGAAAAAGATCAAGGGGGTTGAGAAACTGGATTCTGCTGCCTAGATTTTCCAGGCGATTTCTTTGCCCCTTAAAACAGGGTTCTCCATCTCTGTGGTTATAAACTAAAGGTAAAGGTTTCCTCTGTCCAGTCATATCCGACGCTAGGGGATGGTACTCATCTCCGTTTCACGGCCGAGGGAGCCAACGTTGCCCAAAGACAATTTCTGTGGCCATGTGGCCAGCATGGCTATATGCCCAAAGGCGCATGGAATGCTGTTACCTTCCCACTTGAGGGGAACCTATTTATCTACTTGCATTTGCATGCTTTTGATCTGCTAGGTGGGCAGGAGCTGAAGTATATGGTATTTAAGACTTTAAGCTGCTGGGGAGAACTGAGTAATTTTAAGAGCCTATATAGCCAGATACGAAAGCATCATTCAATACATGCTCAAGGATAGCCAGTTGCAAATGGTGACCTCATAATCAATCTAGGAGTTGTCTTCTTCTGAAATGTTTCTTAGACTTCTCAGTCTAGATCACCATCTGGGGAGGTCCTGATGTTCTCCCACCCTATTAACCCAACCCAATCCTTCTTAGCTTCCCAGGTCTAACAAGCCAAAGCATTCACCCTGCCCAAATGTCTGAAAAATGGAGAATAGGGATGTTCTACCCATAACATGAAGTTGGTCATGGCTTATTCACACAAACAGACAGCCAGGTTACCAGCACACGTATGTGAACCTTGTTTAAAATCAGCAATGGCATGGCCACCAAGACAGGTTAACACCAGTAGGTACCTGTTCTTTTTTATCCTGTTGCTTTTTATCCTTTTCTTTCTTCCTTTCCTTTTCCCCTTCCTTTTCTTGGCTTTTGGCTGGCTGCTTATCCTTGTTCTCTTTCTTCAACTTCTTTTTCAGGGTATTCTTATTCACCCCGTCCTCCTTTGGGGCAAAACATGTGAATGCGCACAGAGCACAGAACATTCACCTTACTCTTGATGGAGGGAGGGGGGCAATGTATCTTTTTCTTAAGACAACTGACATCTGTACGCTCAAAATAATAATAATAGAAATAAATGAATAAATACCGCAATCCTTGACTTACAACTATAATTGGGACCAGACATTTCTGTTGGAAAGCAAGACAGTCGCGCCTGATTTAATGGCCTTTTCTGGCCAGGCAGTTAAGCAAAACCACTGCACTGGTTAAGGGAAGCATGCAACTGATAAGCAAATCCAGCTTAGAAAGAGGAAATTGCAGACTCCAAATTTTAGTCCGCCATTTTCTCCACCAGAAAGTCCCAGATCCTCAGTAGCTCATGCTTACCTTCTTCTGTTCTCCTACTGACAGGTTGTCTGAAGGCTGTGCAGAAGAGACCTCGCTTCCTGGCTCCTCCTTGATTTGGGGGGGCTTGTTTTCCTTCCGGATTTGGGGCTTCACCATTTTGGCTTCAGCCTAGATCAAAAGAACAGCCCACAAGGGCATAGAAGATCAGAAAACCCGCTTTGCTGGCCAATTTGGTGGACCTTCTCTTTATTTGTGTCAACCCTTCCCTGTATAGTGTCTCCCATCTCACTGCATATTTCTGGGGCTCTGGAGAGTGACCAGCTTTAAATCTCAATGGCAAAGCTTTATCATGGGCAGAGATGGTGCACCAATTGGGCCTCCTGGAATGTTTGCTTCTACCCAGGAGCAGATGGCAGCTGTGACAGTTGGGGCCTTTGCATGGATTCAAACTATGTGCTAATTTTCCACCACAAGGACTGGAATCTTGAGTTTTACACCTACTATCTTCCAAACAATGCATAGAATAAACCAAAGGGGCAAACTGAGCTTGCTTTTTGGCGGAACTGACCTCCTCTGTTTTTTTCACACTTTCCTTCCTTTTCAGGTCTCTTTTGATAAGTTTCAGCAGATAATCTACTCGTGCCTGGAGCTGCTTTCCCTGTGGCTTTTTATCGGTCTCAACTGGTAAAATCTGGGGATGGGTGGAGAAGGAATAAACATAAGAGAGGTTTAAAGTCACCCACCTAACTTTGTGCCCAAGGCAGGACTAGAACTCATAGTCTCCCGGTTTGTAGCCTGGTGCCTTAAATGACTAAACCAAACCGGCTATTTTACGCATAAAATAAAAGCAAAAAAACATTGCTTGTCAAGCTGCAGAGCCACTTCTCCCACATCCGATGCTGCCACATCCTGCAGATGTCCCTTTTTCAAGCATCATAGTTTAGCGTTGCATCTATAAAGCTTCACCCATGTGTGAGGTTCCTTGTACCTTGTTGGTCAGGTTCAGTTCTGGGTCTGATTTGATGAGCTCCCAGTTCCTACATCCGTGCTCGTAAATTCCCCGCAGCAAGCAAGAGTCCTCTTCCACTCCCCAGTCTGTATCGAAATGGGCAGATTTGACACGGCAGTTCAGATGGAACCTGCAAAATTGGAGGAGAGGACGGGCGAAAGATGAAAAACAATTCCGTGTGAGACGCCCCTTGTTAATAAAGTTCCACATCGGAACTGGATAAGACAAAGGAAAGGCAAAGTTAGAGGTATGTGTGAAAGCATGGTGAAATTGTCTCTCTTAAACCTCTTCTCCCTAGCTGACCTCAGTTCCACTTAAACTGAGCAGAGGGCCATTCCTTAAATTGCTTTAAAAAGGCTTAGTTGAAAAGAAGGCAAACAAAGTTGATCCTGAAGGAAGTCTTATTTCTCCCCAACTTATTTTTCCCTGGAGAAGATGAGGAACCAACTTCTGCCTAGCCTGTAAGAATCTAGCAGAATAACCAAGTTGGAAGGGACCTTGGAGGTTGTCTAGTCCAAACCCTGCTCAAGTAGGAGATCCTATACTATTCCAGACAAATCGCTGTCCAGTCTTTTCTTAAAAGCCTCCAGTGATGGAGCATCCACACCTCCTGGAGGAAAGCCCTTCCATTGATTAATTATTCTCACTGTCCAGAAATGGGTTACTAATTTAACTGCAATGATTAGCTTAACAACTGTGGCAAGACAGTTTGTAAAATAGGGCAAAGCTCACTTTACAACAATCTTACTCAGCAACAGAAATTTGGAGTTCCATTGTGTCTGTAAGGCAAGGAACACCTGTAGAAGAACATTCAAAGAAGATTTCAACTGCAGGAGACCTGCTGCTAATCTAGTAAATGATCCTGGACTGGACTCTTGGTCTAATCCAACAATTCTCTTGGTTATCTTCTCTTGAGTCAAAATAATGGCTGCCTCTTCCATATTTACATTCTAGAATCCATTTAGATGTCTCTTCACATGTATGATATTATCTTTTTCCAATGTAAAGGTCAACAGAGCATAAATAATAACATACTACCTAAGGGTCCATTTTGTTTAAGAGCAATGTGTGATTTTTTTTCTCCTCAAATACCTTTTCTTCTTCTTTTGGGGCCACTCATGGCTGCTATACAAACACACACAAGCACTTGTGTATTTCTTACATGGTCATGCTTACCTTGCCCTCTCCACTGGGTCAGATGGCATGACCTGATGGAGCACTGCAAACTCCTGCTCATGCTGAACAATGGCTTTGACATTCACCTGGACTCCAGAGATGTTAATTGTGGGTCCCTTTCTTTTCCCTGGTCCTTTGTCTGAACAAAAGGAGCCACACAGAGTTTTCAGTCACAATCAGATGAGGTGAGTTGGGAGTCGCATTTAAAGAGCACATCAGCACCTGAGACTTTAACCTGTTTCCATTTGGGGGCTAAAGTACCAGCCTGTTATTGTAGGAGAAAAGCAGGCAGAACTGCAGAGGGTTAGAGTTAAACATCTCATCAGTTTAGAATCCTTGCAATGTCACAAACAATCCAAGTCACTCTCTCTTGAATTCTGTTGAACCTTATTTGGTGTCAATTTAGTACTGAACTTTAGTTGATTAGGTTCTTGCATAGAGGCTTGAATAAATATTTTATGCTGCAACTTAACGTACAGTCCTGATCCTTTGCGCCTGACAGTGATTTTGAAAAAGAAGGAGTAGGGTTGACTACCACCCTTTTCCCATCAAAGAAAGCCCCTTTGCTCACTTTCAGTTGGGTTCTCCTTCAGATGCTCCTCGTACTCCTGCATGGCTGATGCACAACTGTTATGGAGAAGTTCCCCCAAACGTTTCAGATCAGCTACAGATTTGTCCACAAGTTCGGCATCCCGAGCAATGCATTCCAGTCTAAAAAAGGAGGAGATGGGATGTAATAAAGCTGCTGTACAGCAAATCAAGACCCTCCCCTCCAAGACACGCACAAATCAGACATTATTTTAAATCACTTCCAGAACATGGATGGACTAAGAGCAGCTACCGGAGAACAAGTCATAGCAGCTTGGTGGGACATCACTCCAAACACAATTAACGATGTATCCCACATAACATGTGCAAACCCACAGGTTGCTTTCCTAGGTCCTGCTGATCTAACTGAAGACTTAAATGCAAAGATGAAGAATACTGAAGGATCAGGAGAGGCAAACCTGCCTCCTAATCTCCTAGGAGGATGCAGGAAGCCTTCCGGCAGGTGGTGATGTCACTACAAAGGATGAAACTGAACATTGCCTACAGGACCGTAGGGGGATAGGAAAGCATCATTTTATTTATTTAAATACTGTAATTGATAGGACCAGCCATCTCCTGGAAGTGATTCTGAGTGGTGCATGGCAATTAAAACATAACATCCCACCAATCCTCTGATGTCCCTACAGTTGTAATTTAGTAGACTGCACCTTCTCTCTAATCTGGCACTCACCGCTCCAAAGGAACACCAAACTTCTTGTAAGCCTTGATAAATCTGTGGAATTTAAACAGGGAGAGCAACGACTGTTAGAGAGGGTTGCTAAAGGCCTCCATTTTGTTTTTCCCTCTGTTTAAATTATTAGTGACCTCACTAAATTTAATTTAAATTAAACCTGTCCAGATGCGCCCGGAGTGCAATTCTCAAGTTGCCCAATATTTACTAAGTCAGGTTAAGCAAAGGGAGGCTGCAGAAGGTTTTTACATTATTTTCTTCCTTTGCTCTGGAGGCTCAAGACCACCGGAGTAAACTCCCCTCATTTCATCCCCACCAGGCCTCACTGCGAGGTAGGCCGGGCATCCCTCCCACCCTTTCCAGTTCACCTTAGCTCTGGCAAATGATGAAAAACACATCCAGAAGAATCCCTGGGTTTCTCCCCGGTGCCAACCTTCTGATTTCGGTTTCTGTAAATCCTTCCACCATGTCCTTCTGAGTGCTGCAAGGCCTCCTTTTGCATTTTGGCCTTTGGTCATCATCTGATTCCTCCTTCTCGGTCTCTGAGCCAAATAATATCTGCAGCTTTCTCTTTATGCCAACACCCGAATCACTGTCATTGGGCTGAGGCTGCCAGGGCCAGAAAAAGCCCAGGTTTAGAGGGATCCTCTTTGCCAGAGGATGCAAACTGCAGGTTCTCTGGACTTACAATAGTTCATTTAGTGACCGTTCAAAGTTACAACAGCACTGAAAAAAAGGACCTATGACCGTTTTGCCCACTTAGGACTGTTGCAGCATCCATTCTGCATGGTCATGTCATTTACACTCAGATGCTTGGCAACTGGTTCACATTTATGAGGGTTGCAGTGTCCTAGCGCCATGTGATCACCTTTTGTGACCTTCTCACAAGCAAAGTCAGTGGGGAAAGCCAGATTCACTCACTGTGTTCCACACCACTCCTTTTAATTGCACTGCTAATGCTACAAATTGTGAAATCTTTGATACTCTTTTTCTGGGCCTGTACCTTAAACTGGGAAAACAGTTCGTTGGTTGCACTTGTGGACGGTTCGTGTTCTCCTGTCTTAGCCAGGTGTAAGATTTCCTCAATGTCCATTTCCTGGAAGCAGGGGCAAGAGTGCAGTCAGACACACACCAGTATGAAATATTACATTTGTCCTTCTAAAGTTCTGATATGAAAATGGATTGGATTGAGTTAAATGTCTGTCCATTACAAATGACATCCCAAGAAGAATCAAGGTAATCTCCACCCAGAAATATGGATCAGAAAACTCACCTGTGGTTCAGATTCTTCTCCTTCTGCTTTTTTAAAAAGGTCTTCAGCTCCAAACTTCAGGATGGCGGTCAGTTCCTCCTTGTTGAATGGGTTTGTACTAGAGAAAAACATGAAGCCACTGGCTCGAACAAAGCTTTCCAGTTCACAAGTACTTGGACCATATCTTAGCTCACTTTTCTAGGATCTCAAATAATCTAGTTCCTCATCCACCTCCTAATCTTTTTTATCTAAGAAAACTAGGCAATTCGCAATTCTGAGTAGCTAAAACAATTCTGTCTTTTTAAAATCAAACAATGTTACAAATAAAATGTTCTTTTTAAAAAAAGACAGTAATCTTAGCATAAAGCGTGTGTTTAGGTATCAATGACCATGTCTGGCTGACAACCATTAACCATCTCATTTTATCTCATCAAACTTTCAAAACAGGGATTGATGCTAAATGACTTGGTTTGTACTGCCTGCGAAGCTGGAGGAAGTTCCAGAATCTACTGAATTACTGCTGTTTCTCCTCCTCTCTTTTCTCCTCCTGTTCGTAAAGGCAGTAACATTTACCACTTGCCTTTATTGAACTTATAATCTTCTATTTATAATCTTCTATTTATTGAAAAAGTACCTTTCGAACAACTATGATTTGGATGACTGTGAATCTCCATAGGGGTAGAGAGGATCCCTTTCCACTGAACAATTCACCCCAATTAATAAGGCTAAGTGTTATCACTTTCCCAGATTAACATTTAAAGGGTAGCATAAAAGAGCCACCTTGATCAGCACACTAAAAGGCTCATCTCCTTACTTGGATCTGTCCGAGCTATTGTCCAAAACCGTCTGTCTGGTGGTGTCCATCTGCTTTATCATGGGATGGTCCAGCACCATCTTGTTCTTCCCTGTTTCTATAATCTCCTCTTCCACTGTTCCCTTTGTAACCAAGAGATATATATTTACCTGCAGAATCCAGGAGATGCGTGAAATAGCTATATAGGTAGCTTTTTATCCCTGGTGCAGCCAAGGTGAGGTGCAGAAATCTCTTTTTGGATCTCTTCCTAAGTCAATGACTCACCTGACCTTTGGGAAGGTTTGGGAAGGAACAGGGATCAAAGACTAGCATGTTGCAAATCAAAAGCTACTGGCTTCTAACACCTTACAATAAAAGCAAAATTTGTCTTACCAGGATTAGTTACCTTTGGGCTTGTAGATGTCACCTTTTCTGCCATGTCCACCAAGGCAGCCCCTTTGGGGGAATTTCTGAATCTCTACTTCCAAGCCCACCCCACCCCCCAAATTCCCTCTATTGATATTATTTAACTTCGCTGCTCACTATTTCAAAAAACAACGAAAGAAATAACCAGAGTTTTTCTTTCCCAGCCTATCCAATCTGGAAAGGTAGGATCTGAAAACCTGAATGCCTGAACTGGGTCAACTGATGAAGAGCCACATGTAAAGTATGTCCACTCCACAATTTGTCCAAATTCAAAATGACCAGTAGGAAGGTTCCCCCCCCCCATATAACTGCCTTCACCCCTGGGTTCCAAGTTCTAAATTCCATTGCTCAGTGCAGGAAGAGGTAACTGACGTGGCAGGCAGCCAATCCGGTTTATGCTTAAGGTGTTAGCCTAGAAACCAGGAAACTGGCATTTTAGTCCCACCTTATGCATGAAAGCCAGTTGGATGACTTGGGGTCAGTCACTCCTTTTCAGCCCAACCAACCTCACAGAGTTGTTGTAGGAAAAACAGGAGGAGTATTAAAGTATGTTCACTGCATTGAGCTACTTATAAAAGTAATGAAGGCGGGATAAACATCCTATAAATAATAAAAATAATACTTACAAAGTTCAGGTGATCTGAAAGGAGTTAGAAGAGGGAAATGATAGGGTTTTTTCTTTTAGCATTTCCTAAATTAAAATTCTTGAAAACAGTAAACTTTTCCAAATTTGGGGAGCTTTATTAACCAACTGGCATCTTTTATTCCCTTCTAACTTATTTCTCTGCTTTTGGTGAGCTCTAAAACTATTTCCCAGGTGTTGGGATATTTTTTCTTAAACCTCTTAATTATTAACAAAGCACTTTATATTTTATTATGTTCAGTCAAATTTTGGCTTCTGAGTGAAGTCAGCCAATGTGACCCAACAGGCTCAAAATGAAAATCTGAATAGTGACAGGGAAAGGGTGTAACAATTACACTGCCCCACTTTCCAGGTTATTGCATGTGTCTGGAAATTGTATGGGGTGTTGTGATATAAATATTGTAATTTTTTATTGATTTAAAAAATGCAAATAATTTTTTCTTCTGAACAATGAAGCCATGAGTTTCTGTTGATGTAATCTTTAGGACAAAAAAAAAAGGCATGAATTGAATCACGTGTGTGTTTGTTGAATGGGCTAGTTCACTGTTAAAGCCAGCTCACCTTTCTGCCAAAATAATTACCAACTTCAGAAAACTGAAGATCAGTAAAATTAAAATAATGTGTCATCGGATTTCAGTTAAAATAGATGGGGACAGGGAAGATACCTAGCTTTGATCATATATAGGCGGGCAGGTGGGAAATTCCACATGCCTGCCAGCCAGAGGTTAAAAACCATGCAGATGCGCCACGATTCAAAGTTGGTGGGATATTTTGGCTTTGTGAAAACCCTCCACTTTCTCAATAGGCAATTTTGGTGCCTTCACTCAAACAACAAGACATGGAGAGTTATGCTTCCAGCTGCCCTAGATGTGTGGCCGCAAAGCAGAGGCAAGGAAAAACACAGCATTGCTCAAAATAGGTGGCTGAGCCGTCAGCACCTTGGAGAGAGATTTCCATGGATTTTATTGTGGAACTCCCCGAAAGCTCAGGGAACAACAGTAATTTGGGTAGTGACTGACTTATTCTGAAAACAGGTCCATCTCATCCCTTGCCAAAAGATTCCAACAGCCAAAAAAAGTGGCAAAGATGTTCTTGCACCACATTTACCACTTCTATGGAGCACCACAACGCATTATCTCGGATAGAGGGATCCCATTCACGTCCAAAGTTCTGGAGAGCTTTTCTAGACTTCCTCAGAACCGAGCAAGGACTTAGTTGTAGTCACCATCTGCAGGCAAATCACAATTGATTCAAATCCCTGCACTGAGATGTTTTCCAAAGGACAGGACGCTTTTCAGAGAACAGATCAATTTCACGTCAGAAGCGAAAAGAAAAAAAAAAGTTACAGAAATTGTCAAGCAATGTGAAAAAAGGAGGTGAAGAAAACAGACTGAGGAAGATTTTGTCCTCGCCGTCTGCAATCAGGCTTTAAGCTGAAGTTAACAAAACCTTCAATACTCTCAACGCAGCTTCAAACAAGGCACAATTTGAGAAAACCAACAGTTAAATAATTGCAGAGACCAACTATTGAACAAAAAAAACCCAGAGAGATGGAAATTCCAATTTATGAAAAACTTCCTGACCTTTTAATGTACAAGAATCCAAAGTACAGGAGCTTAACAATAGAAAAAATTTAATACATACTTTATAAACAACATATTTACATCGGAAATCACTTAGACAGTGGCAAAGTCCTTTGTCACAAATATAAATTAATATTAATTACTGTATTTAGTCATAGGGATTTCATTTCCCTTTAAGTCCATGACTTTATGCACCAGAGCTCTTCTGCTCCAGATCTTTGGGGGGAAACGCAACAATAGGGTTATCATAGCTGGACCACTGGTAGAAATCCAACAGCAGCAGAATCTTCTCCTTCAATTCTCCAATAAAACTTCATAAATGCATCAAATCAGGCACAAACCCAGATTTCATAGGCCACCCTCCCACTAACATTTTGTAATTCCCAACCCGGTCAAGAACAGAACATACAAACATTCGGGATTTATTATGCTTACAATTTCGTTGTAACGATACCCCACCTAAAACTATCGGCCCCAAATGTATTTCACCCTTATGGGAACAAGTCAAAACTTAGGAGTGAAACAGTAACAATTCTAATTAAGCAACAATCAGGAACATATCAGAACTTAGGGGTGAAATAGCAACTATTCTAATAAAGTAGCAATTAAGCAACGTATCAGAAATTAAAAGTGAAAGTGTCCCACCTGAAAACTATCGGTCCAAGTATATAATTGCCCATGTCAGAAATTAGGACTGAAATAGTAACTAATTAATTGTATTCTAATGAAGGAACATATCAGAAGTTGAGAGTAAAAACTTCTTAGGGACAAAATAGCAACTAGTCTAATTAAGTAGCAATTAAGCAACATGTCAGAAATTAAAAGTGAAAGTCTCCGACTTGAAAATCATCAGTCCAACTATATTTTGCTCTTAGAGGGACATGTCAGAAATTAGGGGAGAAATAGTAACTATTCTAATTAATTCTATTCTAATTAAGTAACAATTAAGGAACCTATCAGAACTTAAGTGTGAAAAACTATGGGCCCCAAATATATGTTACCCTTACAGAAACACTAGAATTTGGGAGTGAAATAGTATCTATTCTAATTAATTCTATTCTAATTAAGTAACAATTAAGGAACTATCAGAACTTAAGTATGAAATAATAACTATTCTAATTAAGTAACAGGAAGCCATCATAGCTAAGGTATGAAAGATTTGTTCTAATTAAGAAGATAAAATTCTTAGCTTCCATTTTCTGTTGAACAAATCTGGAATTCAATTCGTCAACCTCAATTCAAACCATGTAATCATAATAGGACCTTAAACTCCATAGTGTCTTTTCTACAATCATAGTTTAGCAGGTGGGAGAGAAAAAAAGAAGAGTGTATGACACATTCGTGGATGGACACAGTTATGTAAACATAGAACAGGCCCCTCTAGAAACCTAGAAAAACAGTCTGATTATTTCCTTCTTATGTCACTAGTTACCTTTTAACACTTAAGGAACTGACTTGGCAGTGGAACTCTTTTTATCAAAAATTATGGCTCAGAATTGTTGCTGGGGGCACAAAATTCACTCGAGAGGTGATAAACCGGGGATGCTACTCACAGAACTTTTCAGCATGTATTTTTGGCCATTGCATTTTTAAAAAGCAATAATTTAACCCAAACAAATAGATTCGGGGCCAAGTGCCCACACATGAACACATGTACACATTTCAGTGTGGGGAATATATCCGTCAGAGTTGGGGTGGGGTTTTTTTTGGTTTTTTTTTTTTAGAAGATGCTGCTGAGAAAGATCATCAAAGTATAACTATGACTCAGATCTTTGCCACCTTTGTATAAAAATGTGGGTCAAAACTCCATGTTATCCTTCACTCCATGACAGGCTTCCTTCATCTTGCTTAGTTCGTTGGTGTCTCCTTTCTGTGGATGGCAGCCATTGGGGTTTTTGAACCTTCCTAACTAAAAGTGCTAAATTGACCATCTTGGGATGTTCAAGAAATACTGCCTGAACTGGACCCCTCCCTCAGCTCCTTTCTCCAAGCCGCATCCCTGGTGTTCCCATGGATCATGAGGAGAAGAAGAGGAAAAAACAGGAGCTCCACAGTCAATTTCTGAATATTGAAGTCCCCCAGTGCCGTGGACATACTGTCCTCTCCTTCACAACCATGGAAATGAAAATTCTGCCTTTATTTAAAAAGTGTTCTCTGTCCACATAGCGCTGCTTGAAGTCCCAACGTTGCTAAGGTAAAGAAAAGCATGGAGAGGAGAAAAGGAAGGATGAGATCACAAACCCTCCCTTCTTTTGTTTCGTTTTCTGGTATTCTGGCAACCTTAAGTCCACAAACTTCCAAGTCTCTTCTCTTCGACAAGATTTCCAAGCATTCTCACCAAAGGTTGGCTTCACTGTTCTCTAATTCAGTCTCGCTCCTGCCCTCCCCAACGCCAAATTTTTATTCTACTACTGTAGTTACTGAGGTCTTCTCTATCATTCCCCCCCAGCAGCAAATTGAACGTCAACTCCAAAGGGGTGTTCACTTTCATCTCTGTCTGTATCCTACGCAGCCATCTGTCCATTTTGTGAAATGTGCAGAACTCAAGTTGGCATTGCAGACACAAACACTAAATCTTCATTCCAAAACCTAGGGGGAAGACTTGACCTTGTTCTCTACGGGTCCCTTGGTGCCAGTGAAGACCACTCCCAACGTTCAGCCAGTGTACTGACGGGAGGCAAATTTGGGGCTAAAATACAGGCCCTTGGTGGGTCCTGTTCTTCTGACCCACCACCAATTCTTACAGCCCAAAGCTCTACAGCACGATATTCAGGCTTTCTGGTTCCAGCATGGATGGCCCAGTAACTGTTGTTTCTGTGGGCCGGACTAGCACTTTCCATTGGCCTCTGCTTCTGGGCCTCTAGGTTTTCCAGCCACTCCAGTTATACTCTGGATTGTTCTTCTGCTCTAACGGCCTATCCAGAGGTGATCGGTGCTGGATGGGAGACTTGACACCAAGTGGAGATTTCTGAGAAGCTGGAGAGCGAGGATCAGGGATCTGGGAGTGAGGAGGGGGAAGGAGTTGCTTGTAATCAGCAGATTTGTCTGGGTGGAAAGGCCTGTAATGGTCTGAAGGCCCTTGCCCATGATAACCCAAAGGGGGTCTGTGGTCAGACATCCTCCGGAAATCTTGTTGGTAATTCTGGGACCGGAATTCATCGATTCTTCGTCTCTTGGCATCATGGTAGTATCTGGAGGGGAAAGAAGTAATCAAACATTCAACTCAAAAGAAGAGGCAAAATGACTGTATCTTGGGATGCTTAACTCCCTCTGGTGCCAAGAGTCTAGAAGAGAACAGGAAAGCCTTTGCCAGCCCAGTTCAGTAGTATCTCCCAGGGGAAAGACTAAAAGAAGGAAAGAAGATTGACAAAAGAAAAAGAGTGACAAAAGCCCAACTGCTTTGCACTCTGGGTTATGTGTCCATGGAGATTCTCAGTCATCCAGGTCATAGTTATCCCAAGGATGCTTTTTCACGGGGCAACTGGAAAGTGTGGTGTCCTCGTGAAAAAGCATCTTTGAGATAACTGTGGGTCATGATATCACAAACGCTTGCAAAAGATTGTCAGAAATCATAGACTCATAGGACTGGAAGGGACTTTAGAGGTCTTCTAGTCCAAACTTCTTCTCAAGACAGAAGACTCATACCAACCCAATCAAATGGTTGTCCAGTCTATTTTTGAAAACCTCCACTGGTGGAGCACCCAGAACCCCAGTAGACAAGGCAGTTGATTTAACTGTTCTCACTGTCAGGAAATCTGTCAGTTGGATCTTTTTTTAATGAACTTTTACTCATTACCATCTCTTCCACAGGCTAAACATACCTATCTCGCTCAACCCATTCGTAATACTCAGGAGACTCAAAATAAGCGTATCTGGATTTTGTTGACATAAGATGGGCAGAGAGATCAGGCTTTCAATATTCTGTTATTATATCCTACAACAGTACAGTTCCACTAGTCCTTGCCATCTCTGCTCCGTGATCTGGCTGACGAACACCACCGCTTTTGGCATGCTGACTCCTCCAGAAGCCCAACGGTGCAGCCGAGTGGCCTGCATATCACCTCACCTGTATTCACGCTGGTCCCGATAATCTCGTTCACTGTTGTACTGCTCATACGGGCGTTTACGAGAGACGTTGCTTGGCCGGTAGTTTGCTGAGCTCCGATACTGTTCTGCGCGCACCTGGCGATCCGCATAGTGGCGCTCCTTGTACCAGGGCTGCTCATATGGGTAGTAACGGTTTCTGCTCCAACTTTGAACGGCATTGCCACTGTAATTAAATTTGCGGTCCCTCTGCCACTCGCTCCGTTCTGCATGACAAGGAAGGGGAGGAAGGTAGCACCCTTTTCACAAGAAGCCCAAGGATCTTATCCACTTGGACTTCATCATCTGTACTCTACCATTCATTTGATTTTTATTACCTCTTTTTAAAGAGAATCAGAAAGAGGAGGAGGAACACAATAATGTCAACCTTGCAATGGACCTGGCCGAAGCCATTTTCCTTGTTGCCAGTTACCACAAGCGGGGGGGGGGGGAATGGGGCATTTTCTATTAGACTGAACATTTTTCCATCCCATGGGAACCAAGGTCATTTCTGTTTCCCTCAGAAAGGCTACCTGGATGTGTTATTGGGGAACGCAGTTGATTGCATAGCCAGTGGGGTGGGCCTGTAACTTTGTATTACTGTTGCTTTGGGGAGGGGATTTTAGTCTTGGTTTCACTTTTGACCGTGCTGATACTTTATACCCAATAAACATGTTCTCAGAGGAAACCTCAAGCCTCAGAGTTCTGTTTTATTTGGCCTCATTTATCAGAACCATGACAAATAATAGCATCAATAGCGGGAACAGCCCATCCAGAGTTAAACTGGGAGGCCCTTGAACCAGATGTCCCATGTAGTTCCAGCAAGGGGATCAAGAATAGTCATGCATTGCCACCTCTCCCATCTCAGGAAGCAAGATGGGACCTCAGGAAGAAGGGAAGAGCCTCTCTGGTGTTCCAGAAGTTCTCTGTCAAATCTGCCATCACACTGCTTCAGCCCTGCATCACTTTGATGGCAGCCTGCCCTAAATATGGGGAGGGGAGATGGAGGGATGTAGGAAGGGGGATTGACAGGAACCAGAAATGCCTATCAGAGACAACAGTTGAATGATCCAAGGACATAAGCATGGGAAAGGAATACGAATGCCCACCAAAAGAAGCACCAAACTTTGGGAATTGTTACCAAAATACCTAATTTGACCCACATTGGACACTAATAAGGTGACCAGGGGGAAGGGCTTGGGAGGAAGGGAAAATTACTGGGAAACCTCAGATCTAGCTTTGCTTATGCTGTCACCACTTGCCTTTAGTAAAAGTATATCTTTTGCTACAAATGGAGTCAAGAGTTTTTCTTTCCTAATAGCCCAAGCTGCGACAGGCCTGACAACCTCTCACCTGTGTTGCTGAAATGCCTTCTACTTGACTGCTTGTAGTTCTCCCGTGGATGTCCATGCATCTGGGGAGGGTGAGGAGGTGGCTGCTGCAGCCTTTGAGCATGAGGGCTATGGGGGACAGAAGTCATCTGAGTATCTCGACTGGGCCCAGGAGCTTCTGGACGAAGGGGCCGCTTGCCGCTCGTTGCCTCTTCCTTCTTCTTCTGTTCCTGCCGAGCAGAAAGACATCAAAGGGATACTCAAAAGGCAAACATTGACAATTACATGAGTTTTATTAACCAGGAGCTGTAGAGGAGAGGTCCCTGGAGAATATTTGAGGGCCTCCTCTAGAAGAAAGGATTAAACAAAAAAGAAGTGAAAGCCTTAAGGCTTCCCTCCTCCCACCCCTTCAGTTGTGACCAAAGATGCCTTCATCATCAAGGTTTGCTAGGCCAGTCACTTTTGGCACCCCAGGGACCTCCACAATTGTACTTGGCAGGCACCCTGAGGAAAGAGTAGTGCAAGTCCATCAATGGAGACTGGACAGCCAGCCACATGTCTGAAATCATATGGGGTCTCCTGCTTGATCAGGGGGTTGGGCTAGAAGACCTCCAAGGTCTTCAAGCTCTATTTGGATTGCTTAATAAAGAGCTGATTCCAGCCAAAGGAGCTACGTTCTCACAGAAAATTACAGTCCCATCAAGGAGTCACCCAGAGAACACCATGGCTTTGATCCCCAACCTATGGCCCCCGAGCACGGAAGGCTACCTACCCTAAAAATAGCATTTCTCCTCCTCTCTTCTACAACCCAACTTCTGGCTCTTAAGAGAGCAATGACCCAGCCAGGAGCAAAAAATGGAAAAAGGAATAGGAAAAAAAATGCAGAGTCCCACCTACAAGTCTCAATCACAACTTCCTCCAGTTCCTGAGGTTTTCTTTTGCACAAGATGTTCTCTTTCTTTCCTTCTCCTTATTTATATACCCCTTCCATTTTACCGCACAACACAAACATACACACAACCACACACAACTCTGTCCTTACCGCCAGTTCCCGGGCTCGTTTTTTACTAGCCATCTTGTATATCTTATGCAATTTTTTGGCGTTAAATTCAGTAAACTTCGATACAAACACCCAGAGATTCCTGGAAGGAAGTGAAAGGGATATTTTAAATTTCTCTTTTTACGAGCTGGGCCAGAAGCCTGAACTTTTCATGCCAGAGGAAAAAGATTCCCCCCAAAAGCCCTGGAAGCAGGAATGGAGAGGTGTTTTATTCTGGGGGGCCCAAATCCCTTCTTACATCCCCTCTGCTTCCAAAAATGTCTTGCTGCAAACTTGAGTCATGAAGAATCCTGAGATAAAGTCAGCAGATTTTGATCTAAGCATGACATGACCCAATCCGCTACCTCCCTTTACTACTGCAAATGCCTGTATCATGAGTTTTCTAGGAGTTTGGACTAAAATGTGTATTTTCTTTTTAACCCTTCAATGTATTTCCACGTAGAGGAATTCAACACGATACAACAATTGGAGACTCCATCTCATTGGCAGCATTGTCACACCTTTAAGTATCAAATCCCTCAAGGAGCTTGAGACAACCGAAAGATTGCAAGCGGTCATGGGAATTCAAGGGGAGTTAGATTTAGTTTTGTTTGTGGCTATGTAGAGCTTCTAGGCTGCTTCCTCTTTTAACTCCATCCCCCAGGTTCTGCCTCTCCTTCCTCTACACCTCCAAACTCAAAAAGACACCTTACCTGCAGATCTGACTGCAACATCAGGAAGGGAGAGAGAGAGAGAGAGAGAGAGAGATTGTGATTGAAGGTTTGGTGGGCAGACAGATTACCTTCTCCATACATTAAGAACTTCCTGTTCAATGTGGGGTTTCAAACATTCAGCAATATGGTCTCCTATCTTGAGCAGGCAACTCCGAGTTTGCTCCAGCTGCTCTTGTTCTGAAAGTCCTTTTTCTGGCTTATCCAACTGCTTCAGGGCCTTCTTGACTGGCCTCATCTGCTCTTTGCACTTGGGAGACAGAAAAAACAGAAGTCCACGTTAGTCTGGCAGCAGAAAGGAGGAAGAGGAGAGGGAGCCCCAGATTTAGGCAACCTTTTGAGGCTAGGGGCCCATTTTGATAGGGGAGGGGGGTCTGCTGTGGGTACCCTCTCAAAATGGCAGTCACAGAGGTCTTCCCCATTCACAAGTCACCAAGCTCTAGGAAGGGCAACTTTTGATTTGAAGGTCCTTTTTTGTATCCTTTTCTTCCCTCTTCTTCTTGTCATTTTTCAACTTTCCCCCTTTGATCACCATTCCCTATTTTTAAAACTTTTGGGATTGGTTAAGTTGGTTAAAGATCAACGACCGGCCCTCTTTTGACTTTTCCCCAGAGTTCCACCCCATTCCTCGAGAAGACTCACAATGGTGAAGGTTGCATGGTCTAAGTCATCCTCTTCCTCTTCATCAATGGGGATAGGCTCACTTCCTGCCGTGATGTGGACGGGACCCTGAGTCAGCGTCTTCTTCCCTTTGTGGCCAGATTTGGCCTCGTTGCCTTTTGGCTGTGAAAGGACAAGAGGAGATAGCATCCCTCTAAGCAGCAGCACAGGAAGGAAAATCACAGATGTGCCAAGAAGGAAATGGAAGGGGAAAAAGATCAAGGGGGTTGAGAAACTGGATTCTGCTGCCTGGATTTTCCAGGCGATTTCTTTGCCCCTTAAAACAGGGTTCTCCATCTCTGTGGTTATAAACTAAAGGTAAAGGTTTCCTCTGTCCAATCATATCCGACGCTAGGGGATGGTACTCATCTCCGTTTCACGGCCAAGGGAGCCAGCATTTCTGTGGCCATGAGGCCAGCATGGCTATATGCCCAAAGGCGCACGGAACGCTGTTACCTTCTGACTTGAGGGGAACCTATTTATCTACTCGCATTTGTATGCCTTTGATCTGCTAGGGGGGCAGGAGCCGAAGTATATGGTATTTAAGACTGCTGGGGAGAACTGAGTAATTTTAAGAGCCTATATAGCCAGATATGAAAGCATCATTCAATACATGCTCAGGGATAGCCAGTTGCAAATCTGTCTATTTTGGTGACCTCATAATCAATCTAGGAGTTGTCTTCTTCTGAAATGTTTCTTAGACTACTCAGTCTAGATCACCATCTGGGGAGGTCCTGATGTTCTCCCATCCTATTAACCCAACCCAATCCTTCTTAGCTTCCCAGGTCTAACAAGGACAAGCCAAAGCATTCACCCTGCCCAAATGTCTGAAAAATGGAGAATAGGGATGTTCTACCCATAACATGAAGTTGGTCATGGCTTATTCACACAAACAGACAGCCAGGTTACCAGCACACATATGTGAATCTTGTTTAAAATCAGCAATGGCATGGCCACCAAGACAGGTTAACACCAGTAGGTACCTGTTCTTTTTTATCCTGTTGCTTTTTATCCTTTTCTTTCTTCCTTTCCTTTTCCCCTTCCTTTTCTTGGCTTTTGGCTGGCTGCTTATCCTTGTTCTCTTTCTTCAACTTCTTTTTCAGGGTATTCTTATTCACCCCGTCCTCCTTTGGGGCAAAACATGTGAATGCGCACAGAGGACAGAACATTCACCTTACTCTTGATGGAGGGAGGGGGGCAATGTATCTTTTTCTTAAGACAACTGACATCTGTACGCTCAAAATAATAATAATAGAAATAAATGAATAAATACCGCAATCCTTGACTTACAACTATAATTGGGACCAGACATTTCTGTTGGAAAGCAAGACAGTCGCGCCTGATTTAATGGCCTTTTCTGGCCAGGCAGTTAAGCAAATTCACTGCACTGGTTAAGGGAAGCATGCAACTGGGACACTATAACCGTCATAAATCTGAGTCAAATTGTCAAGCAGCCGCATGTAAATCAGGTGACCATGGGGATGCTGCAACGGTCATAAGTGTGAAAAACGGTCCTAAGTCCCTTTCTTCAGTTCTGTTGTTAACTTCAAATGGTCACTAAGTGAAGTGTTATGACTTAAGGACTACCTGTACTTGTGCTAATTAAAAAAAAAAAAAAAACCCACACACCCTAATAGTAATCTATACAATTCTTGGTAGCATCAGGATCCTTTCTCAAAGAGACTATAACAAGGATTTCAGCAGGTCTCAGCTCAATGGCTCCATTATTCCGGGATTTTTCAGAAGTATAGCCCTTATAGCCCCCTAAATTTTAGTCCGCCATTTTCTCCACCAGAAAGTCCCAGATCCTCACTAGCTCATGCTTACCTTCTTCTGTCCTTCTACTGACAGGTTGTCTGCAGGCTGTGCAGAAGAAACCTCGTTTCCTGGCTCCTCCTTGATTTTGGGGGGCTTGTTTTCCTTCCGGATTCGAGGCTTCGCTACTTTGGCTTCGGCCTAGATCAGCAGAAAAGCCCATGAGGGGCACAGATGATCAGAAAACCCTCTTTGCTGGCCAATTTGGTGGACCTTCTCTTTATTTGTGTCAACCCTTCCCTCTATAGGAGGGGTTCTCAACCTTGGCAACTTTAAGACTTGTGGACTTCAACTCCCAGAATTCTGGGAGTTGAAGTCCACAAGTCTTAAAGTTGCCAAGGTTGAGAACCCCTGCTCTATAGAGTCTCCCATCTCACTGCATATTTCTGGGGCTCTGGAGAGTGACCAGCTTTAAATCTCAATGGGCCTCCTGGAATATTTGCTTCTGCCCAGGAGCAGATGGCAGCTGTGATGGTTGGAGCCTTTGCATGGATTCAAACTATGTGCTAATTGTGCCCATTCATGGACAGGGAGGCCCCATTCATGGTGATTCAAGTCCTAGTTGCTTCCCATTTGGAGGGCTGCAATGTGCTTCACCACGGGTTGTCCGTATTTTCCACCACAAGGACTGGAAACTTGAGTTTTGCACACACTAGCTTCCCAAACAAGGCATAGAATAAACCAAAGGGGCCAACTGAGCTTGCTTTTTGGCGGAACTGACCTCCTCTGTGTTTGTCACACTTTCCTTCCTTTTCTGGTCTCTTTTGATAAGTTTCAGCAGATAATCTACTCGTGCCTGGAGCTGCTTCCCCTGTGGCTTTTTATCGGTCTCAACTGGTAAAATCTGGGGATGGGTGGAGAAGGAATAAACATAAGAGAGGTTTAAAGTCACCCACCTAACTTTGTGCCCAAGGCAGGACTAGAACTCATAGTCTCCCAGCTATGACTAAACCAAACCGGCTATTTTATGCATAAAATAAAAGCAAAAAAACATTGCTTGTCAAGCTGCAAAGCCACTTCTCCCCACATCTCCACATCCTGCAGATGTCCCTTTTTCAAGCATCATAGTTTGGCGTTGCATTTATAAAGCTTCACCCATGTGTGAGGTTCCTTGTACCTTGTCGGTCAGGTTCAGTTCTGGATCTGATTTGATGAGCTCCCAGTTCCCACATCCGTGCTCGTAAATTCCCCGCAGCAAGCAAGAGTCCTCTTCCACTCCCCAGTCTGTATCGAAATGGGCAGATTTGACACGGCAGTTCAGATGGAACCTGCAAAATTGGAGGAGAGGACGGGCGAAAGATGAGAAACAATTCCGTGTGAGATGCCCCTTGTTAATAAAGTTCCACATCAGAACTGGATAAGACAAAGGAAAAGCAAAGTTAGAGGTATGTGAAATTGTCTCTCTTAAACCTCTTCTCCCTAGCTGACCTCAGTTCCACTTAAACTGAGCAGAGGGCCATTCCTTAAATTGCAAGGACCACCTGTAGAAAAAGACTCAAAGATTTCAACTGCAGGAGACCTGCTGCTAATCTGGTAAATTATCCTGGACTGGACTCTTGGTCTAATCCAGCAATTCTCTTGGTTACATTCTCTTGAGTCAAAGTAATGGCTGCCTCTTCCATATTTATGATCTAGAATCCATTTAGATGCCTTCATATGTATGATATTATCTTTTTCCAACGTAAAGGTCAACAGAGCATAAACAACAACATACTACCTAAAGGTCCATTTCGTTTAAGAGCAACGTGTGATTTTTTTTTTCTCCTCAAATACCTTTTCTTCTTCTTTGGACCACTCGTGGCTGCTACACAAACACACACACACACAAACACTTACATGGTGATACATGGTCATGCTTACCTTGCCCTCTCCACTGGGTCAGATGGAATGATCTGATGGAGCATCACAAACTCCTGCTCATGCTGAATAATGGCTTTGACATTCACCTGGACTCCAGAGATCTTAATTGTGGGTCCCTTTCTTTTCCCTGGTCCTTTGTCTGAACAAAAGGAGCCACACAGAGTTTTCAGTCACAATCAGATGGGGTGATTGGATTTAAAGAGCACATCAGCACCTGAGACTTTAACCTGTTTCCATTTGGGGGCTAAAGTATCAGCCTGTTATTGTAGGAGAAAAGCAGGCAGAACTGCAGAGGGTTAGAGTTAAACATCTCATCAGTTTAGAATCCTTGCAATGTCACAAACAATCCAAGTCACTCTCTCTTGAATTCTGTTGAACCTTATTTGGTGTCAATTTAGTACTGAACTTTAGTTGATTAGGTTCTTGCATAGAGGCTTGAATAAATATTTTATGCTGCAACTTAACGTACAGTCCTGATCCTTTGCGCCTGACAGTGATTTTGAAAAAGAAGGAGTAGGGTTGACTACCACCCTTTTCCCATCAAAGAAAGCCCCTTTGCTCACTTTCAGTTGGGTTCTCCTTCAGATGCTCCTCGTACTCCTGCATGGCTGATGCACAACTGTTATGGAGAAGTTCCCCCAAACGTTTCAGATCAGCTACAGATTTGTCCACAAGTTCGGCATCCCGAGCAATGCATTCCAGTCTAAAAAAGGAGGAGATGGGATGTAATAAAGCTGCTGTACAGCAAATCAAGACCCTCCCCTCCAAGACACGCACAAATCAGACATTATTTTAAATCACTTCCAGAACATGGATGGACTAAGAGCAGCTACCGGAGAACAAGTCATAGCAGCTTGGTGGGACATCACTCCAAACACAATTAATGATGTATCCCATGTAACATGTGCAAACCCACAGGTTGCTTTCCTAGGTCCTGCTGATCTAACTGAAGACTTAAATGCAAAGATGAAGAATACTGAAGGATCAGGAGAGGCTAACCTGCCTCCTAATCTAGGAGCATACAGGAAGCCTTCCGGCAGGTGATGATGTCACTAAAAAGGATGAAACTGAACATTGTCTAGCAGGACCGTAGGGGGATAGGAAAGCATCATTTTATTTATTTAAATAATTGATAGGACCAGCCATCTCCTGGAAGTGATTCTGAGTGGCTCACAGCGATTAAAACATAAATCACAATGTGAAACCAAAGGCTCCTGAGGTTTGATCATCCCACCAATCCTCTGATGTCCCTACAGTTGTAATTTAGTAGACTGCACCTTCTCTCTAATCTGGCACTCACCGCTCCAAAGGAACACCAAACTTCTTGTAAGCCTTGATAAATCTGTGGAATTTAAACAGGGAGAGCAACGATTATTAGAGAGGGTTGCTAAAGGCCTCCATTTTATTTTCCCCTCTGTTTGTGGTTCTTGTCCCACTCTCTTAAATTAAACCTGTCCAGATGCGCCCGGAGTGCAACTCTCAAGTTGCCCAATATTTACTAAGTCAAGTTAAGCAAATGGAGACTGCAGAAGGTTTTTACATTATTTTCTTCCTTTGCTCTGGAGGCTCAAGACCACCGGAGTAATCTCCCCTCATTTCATCCCCACCAGGCCTCACTGCGAGGTAGGCCGGGCATCCCTCCTACCCATTCCAGTTCATCATGGCTCTGGCAAATGATGAAAACACATCTAGAAGAATCTCTGGGTTTCTCCCTGGTGCCAACCTTCTGATTTCGGTGTCTGTAAATCCTTCCACCGTGTCCTTCTGAGCACTGCGAGGTCTTCCTCTGCGTTTGGGCCTTTTGTCATCATCTGATTCTTCCGTCTCGGTCTCTGAGCCAGACGATCTCTGTAGCTTTCTCTTTAGGTCAACATCTGAATCACTGTCATTGGGTTGAGCCTGCCAGGGCCAGAAAATAGCCCAGGGTTAGAGAGATCCTCTTTGCCAGAGGATGAAAACTGCAGGTCCTCTGGACTTACAATAGTTCGTTTAGTGACTGTTCAAAGTTACAACAGCACTGAAAAAAAGGACCTATGACCGTTTTACCCACTTAGGATCGTTGCGACATCCATTCCAGATGGTCATGTCATTTACACTCAGATGCTTGGCAACTGGTTCACATTTACAATGGTTGCAGTGTCGCAGGATCGTAAGTCAAGGACTTCCTGTACTTAGCAGCCCAAACACTCAATGCTCCATGAAGGGGTGGGAGACTTAAGTAAGAACAGCTGAAGTTTCACAAGGCCACCCGTTGCCTTGAGCCTGGGTGTTCCCAGGAACATGTTTGCCTGTGTGTTTCTCAGCACTCAACAATGTGTGAATGTTCCCTTCTGCAAAGCTAAACATCTACTGTATCTCCAACAGAACCATCTACTTCTGAAGAGCCGCCATCCTGCTGGTGTTTTGAAGGGTTTTCTCCACCTAGGATGAGATGTGATGTCACCTGCTATGGGTCATACAGTACAAAAAAATACCTTTTTGGCTGAGCTGCGAATTCTGGGCAGCATGTATATCTCATCTAGTTCCTTTTGTCGCTCCTCCTCTTCCACTTTCTTCCTCTGTTCCTCAGGAATGATGTTTTCCCAATCCTTTTGAGATATTTCTTCCACCTCGGCTTCTTCCTCCTCCATTGTGGCGAAGTTTGCTACCTGGGAGGAGAAACAACCAGGCTTTTCATACTGGGCTTCCATATCACACCCTGGACATAAACGGTTTCAACCCCTCCCCTCGGGACGCCACTATAGGGCATTGCATGCCAAAATAACTAGAAATAAAGACAGTTTTTCCCCTCGTGCCTTCACTCTGCTGAACATCTAATGACCACAGAACTGTCTTATTTCTAAGGATGTTTAACCATGTAGTAAAGCTGTATTACTATTATCCTTCTCGTCTTTTCTACTACCTTCTCCTGTTAGTCTCTTATGATTATATTATGTGCACTGCAAGATTATGCACTAGAGACAAATTGGCCAAAGGAGATGCTCCTCCTCCTCCTCCACATCACTCCTTTTAATTGCACTGCTAATGCTACAAATTCTGAGTTCTTTGATGCTCCTTTTCTGGTCCTGTACCTTAAACTGGGAAAGCAGTTCGTCGGTTGCACTTGTGGATGGTTCGTTCTCTCGTGTCTCAGCCAGGCGTAAGATTTCCTCAATGTCCATTTCCTGGAAGCAGGGGCAAGAGTGCAGTCAGACACACACCAGTATGACATATTACATTTGTCCTTCTAAAGTTCTGATATGAAAATAGATTGGATTGAGTTAAATGTCTGTCAGTTACAAATGACATCCCAAGAAGAATCAAGGTAATCTCCACCCAGAAATATGGATCAGAAAACTCACCTGTGGTTCAGATTCTTCTCCTTCTGCTTCTTTAAAAAGGTCTTCAGCTCCAAACTTCAGGATGGCTGTCAGTTCCTCCTTGTTGAATGGGTTTGTACTAAAGAAAAACATGAAGCCACTGGCTCAAACAAAGCTTTCCAGTTCACAAGTATTTGGACCATATTTTAGCTCACTTTTCCAGGATCTCAAATAATCTAGTTCCTCATCCTTATCCCTTGGTAAGAAAAATTAGCCAATTTTCAATTCTGAGTGGTTAAAATAATTCTTGTTGTCTTTTTAAAATCAAACAGTCAATGTTACAAATAAATTGTATTTTTTTTACGAAAAGAAAAAGACAGCAACCTTAGCATAAAGCATGTGTTTAGGTACTGAACAGTTCGCCACAATTAATAAGCCTAAGTTTTATCATCTTCCCAGATTAACATTTAAAGGGTAGCATAAAAGAGCCACCTTGATCAGCACACCAAAAGGCTCATCTCCTTACTTGGATCTGTCCGAGCTATTGTCCAAAACCGTCCGTCCGGTGGTATCCATCCGTTGTATCACGAGATGGTCCAGCACCATCTTCTTCTTCGCTCTTTCTATAATCTCTTCTTCCACTGTTCCCTTTGTAACCAAGCGATAGATATTTACCTGCAGAATCCAGGGGATGCGTGAAATAGCTATATAGGTAGCTTTTTATCCCTGGTGCAGCCAAGGTGAGGTGCAGAAATCTCTTTTTGGATCTCTCCCTAGTTCAATGATTCACCTGATCAAGGACTAGCATACTACAAATCAAAAGCTACCAGCTTCTAACATCTTACAATTAAACCAGAATTTGTCCCACCAGGATTATTTATCTTTGGGCTAGTTGATGTTGCTTTTTCAGCCATGTCCACCCAAGCAACCCCTTTAGGGGAATTTCTGAATCTCCAACTTCCAACGCCAGCCCCCCCATCCCCCCAGCTCCCAAATTCCCTCTATTGATATTATTTAACCTTGCTGCTCACTATTTCAAAAAACGATAAAAGAAATAACCAGAGTTTTTCTTTCCCAGCCTATCCAATCTGGAAAGGTAGGATCTGAAAACCTGAACACCTGAACTGGGTCAACTGATGAAGAGGCACACCTAAAGTATGTCCACTCCACAATTTGTCCAAATTCAAAATGACCAGTAGGAAAGATCCCCCCTATAACTGCCTTCATCCCTGGGTGGTAGGCAGCCAATTCGGTCTATGCTTAAGGGCCTAGAAACCAGGAAACTGGCATTTTAGTCCCACCTTATTCATGAAAGCCAGTTGGATGACTTGGGACCAGTCACTCCTTTTCAGCACAATCAACCTCACAGGGTGTTGTGGGGAAAAACAGGAGAAGTATTTAGGACTGGAGGCCAAGGCATACCAATAACGGTTGCAGGAATTGGCCGTGTGTAGTTTAATGAAAAGAAGGAGCAGTGTCCCAACATCTAAGGGGTTGCTACAAAGAAGAAGGGGTCAACCAGTAAATCTCTGGTCCTGGTGACTGACCCAAATTTGTTTTTGGGTCAACCTATTCTCCAAAGCACCTGAAGGCAGGAGAAGAAGCAATAGATGGAAACTAATCAAGGAGAGAACAAATCTCGAAATACAGGGAAATGTCCTGACAATTAGAACAATTAATCAGAGGAATGATTTGCCTCCAGAAGTTGTGGGTGCTCCAACACTGGAGGTTTTTAAGAAGAGCTTGGGCAACCATTTGTCTGAAATGGTGTAGGGCTTTGTGCCTGAACAGGGGGTCGGACTAGATGACCTCCATGGTCCCTTCCAACTCCTGTTCTGTTCATCCCTAATCCCCCTTGCTAGGAACTGAAATCCACCCCATCTGCAGAAGACCTAAAAGAAGAGGAGAATGTTTCCCACTAACTTGTTTCTTTTGCCCAATCCGGTGAGCCCGAGCCTGGGCCTGCAGGTCATTCTGGGGGTTCCAATCCGAATCAAAGATCACCACCGTGTCAGCCGATGCCAAGTTGATCCCCAGGCCGCCGGCTCGCGTGGAGAGCAGAAAGATGAAGTCCTAAGGACACGTGACAAAGGGAACACACATTAGACCTGCGTCTGCAGAGGTCCAGGAAGAGCATCAGCAAAGTCCTGGTGAAGGGCCAAGAGTTGTGGGCACAAGGGTTATGTGCCAGCAGGGCATCTCAAGTAGATGGGAGGGAGTTACGAAGGGTAGCATCACAACTACACGCCTTCTACACCAGGTACAGATAATCTTCGACTTACAACAGTTCATTTAGTGACCGAAGTTACAACGGCACTGAAAAAAGGGATTTTACAGCCGTTTTTCACACTGAGAACCGTTGCAGCATCCCCAGGGTCACGTGATTTACATTCGGGTGCTTGGAAGTGGTTCACATTTACGACGGCTGCAGAGCCCCGGGGTCATGCGGTCTCCTTTTGCGAACTTCTGCCCAGCCAGATCAATGGGGATTGTGCAAGGCCCACTTAACAACTGCCTTGTTTAGCAATGGAAATTCTGCACGCCCCCCCCCCATTGTGTCGTACGTCGAAGACGGCGCGTGGCTCCAAAATTAACTTTCCGGTTATCTACGTGCCAATTCAACCCCATTAATTTTCGTCATTTTAACAGAGACTTGAGTTCTCTGAATCACTTTGGGAATTAAAGCCCTATTAAACTCGGTGGGATTTTCTTCCTTATACTCCAATCACAGATCACTCTCTTTAGTCCCGTTGAGAGGCGCAAAAAGTACCAAGAGGTTTTTTTTGTTTTGTTCTGTTTTGTTTTTCTGGAGTAAGCTTCTAATTGGCTGAGATGTCTCTTTTTCTCTGTGTCGCCAAGTTCTCTCTTTCTCCAATAAGGCAGCCAGCAGAAGTGTCAACAAAGCTTTAAAACATGGCCAAGATAGGCTGACTAAGCCAGCTATGTTTCCGTTGCAGCGAGAAGCTGAGAGTCAGCTCCTGTGACCTACGGTTGGTCCTTCACCAATGCAGAAGCACAAAGTAAACTTCTCCTTCCCCTGCCCCGTGCCTGCCAGTCTCCTCCAGACCTTTCAGATCCCCAGGCCTTTGACCAACACCTTCCTTCACCTCCACCAAGGAAGCACACCTTGCTATCCCCTTCCTAGGCAGCCACTGTGCCCCTCCACTTGTTTACAAAACCAGCTGCAGCCATACCTCTGAGCCTTCAGCGTTGAAATGATCCAGGGCCTGTTTTCGGATTTCTCCTTTGATGGAACCGTCCAGGCGCTGCAGGAAACAATGGCAAAGTGGTCAGAGGACCTCTAGGGTAAGCTTTACCTCCAAACCACCCCCAGCTGCCCCCCTTTCTCCTCCAGAAACTCAACTCTTCCCCCGGATGGTTTCCTTCAGCTTAAAGCAAGACAACATTCTAAAAATAACCACGAGTAAAAATAACTTGGGCCGAAGCTACTGCTGTTGCGGGGAATGATGGTGGCCAGGAGGCTGAAAGACCAGGTTCCTGCAGCCAAGCTAGACATAATCTATAAAGTGGGGTTTACAGAAAAAAAGAAAAAAGAGTGAGACAGAGGTCAGGGGAAAGTGACCCACACCCAGAAGTGTGTTTCCCTGGAATCTGGATTAAATGATACGTTAAAAATGGATTTCATCCTATGATAAAGGGCTGAAGGAGAGGTGGGTTAATGCAGGTAGTCCTCACTTTACGACCACAACTGAGCCCCAAATTTCTGCTGTTAAAGAGAGTTTACATTTATTGAGTTCTATCTATCTATTTATCTATCTATCTATCTATCTATCTATCTATCTATCTATCTATCTATCTATCTATCTATCTATCTATCTATCATCTATACCAACCAACCAACCATAAAATTCTTGGTCTTCACCTGGAAAGGGTAGTGCTTGATGGTCAGATACTCCGCCAAGATGTCCAACATTCTCACCATCTGGGAGAAAATGAGTACTCGGTTGCCCCTCTCGCGGAGCCTGCTGAGCAGTTTGTCCAGAAGAATGAGTTTTCCACTGCTCCTGATTAAAGACTAAGAAGACAAAGTGACTATGAGATGGTGGTTCAAAACCTGATGGAGCAAAGTTGACCAAGCAATTGAGTATCATGATAGATTTAGTGGATTAACAGAAGTAACAATGACAGTGAATACAAGGAGGGTGCCCCATGTTCTAATTCATCTTGCCCGTGAGCTCAGTAGCTTGGCTTAGGCAAGTTACTCTTTCAAAACCTGTTTCCTTGCTGTAACAATTTCTTATAGACCGCCTTCCACAACTTGCCACCCTCCAAATAATAATGATAATAATAATCATCATCATCATCCACATCTGCCTATCCCAGGTCCTGGGTAAGGACTCGATAGGTAGACAAAACGCCAAATCCAGTCTGAACATCTGGCTGACTGTGCGATGATCCATAATAATAATAATAATAATAATAATAATAATAATAATAATAATAATAATAATAATTTTAGCATTGACAAATTCGCTATTAGTCAATTGCAAAAGGCGGCCTTACTAGGAACTGCTTCCATCTTGTGACAATATCTGTAATACCATCAAACATCCACATCTGCCTATCCCAGGTCCTGGGTAAGGACTCGATAGGTAGACAAAATGCCAAATCCAGTCTGAATATCTGGCTGACTGTGCGATGATCCATAATAGTAGTAGTAGTAGTAGTAGTAGTAGTAGTAGTAGTAAAGTTGGAAGGGACCTTGGAGGTCATCTATTCCAACCCCCTGCTCAGGCAGGAAACTCTATACCATTTCGGACAAATGGCTGTCCAGTTTCTTCTTAAAAATTTCCAATGTTGGAGCATTCACCGCTTCTGGAGGCAGGTGGTTCCATTGGTTAATAGTTCTAATTGTCAGGAAGTTTCCCCTTAGTTCTAAGTTGCTTCTCTCTTTGTTTAGTTTCCATCCGTTGCTTCTTGTCCTGCCTTCAGGTGCCTTGGAAAATAGCTTGACTCCCTCTTCTTTGGGGCAGCCTCTGATATATTGGAACACTGCTATCAGGTCCCCCCTCGTCCTGGTTATGTTGGTTGGAGAGAACGGAAGTCCTGGTTCAATATGTCTGATGTGCTCAAGTAAGAGAAAGCTGACTTTCAGGCTAGATCTCAAGCTCCTGTGAGATCACCTGAAGCTTTTGAGATATTTGGAAGCCTTATACAATGTTATGCATCAGAGCTTCTTAACCTGTTCCTCCACTTTACCTAAACTCTTCTCCAGAATGCCATGCTTAGCCACACAACCAGCCAACAATATTATGAGTTCCATCACTGAGTAAATCCTTAATTTCTTTGTTGAGATTCAGGCTTTAGCAATACACAAGTCTTTAGCAATACACGAGTTGAAAAGATCCACAAAATGGTCTCAAAATAGCAGCAGGAAGATTGCACCTTCGGACTTGCGAGATTCTGCAAATGTAGCCTTCTAATAACGCAGAATTAGCTCATCTAGTTAGGTTTCCTGTCTGATTGACCTGGAAGGGCTGACATTACCAGAAGTCTTCCCCCAAGCTCTCCCTACCTGCAGCCTCTCCTGATTGTTTTCCCTCTCGTTCTCTTCTGGAGGTTTGATCAGGTAACAGTGATTGCAACATTTCTTCAGCTCCATCACGATGTTCAGGAAGCCGGAAGTACTGCCACGTGTTCCCTTGGACAGGGCTTTGTAATTCCTTGTTAAAATCCATCTGAAGGGTCAGCAGATAACAATATTAGATTCAGCCCCTTTGGCGGCTTCAAAAAAAGCACGCGAGCACATGCAGAATATGGAATAACAGAGTTGGAAGGGACCTTGGAGGTCTTCTAGTCCAGCCTCCTGCTCGAACAGGAGACCCTATGAAATACACGTGCTGAGTATTCCTGGCCCACCACCAGAAGAACTCTTACTTGTAATACTGCTTCTGGAGGGCAGACATCTCCACCCGCAGGATCTGCTCCACTTTGGCGGGGAGGGATTTCTCCACGTCTTTCTTCACCCTGCGCAGGAGAAACGGTTCCAGGACTTTATGCAGACCCTGGTACCCATTCTCGCGTCCTTTGCCATGGTCCTCTTCAAAGTCTTCCCAGGATTCAAACCTGAACAGTCACAGGCAGGGCAAGAGGAGGGAGGGAGAGAAGGAGAGGGAGGGAAGGAGATGGGGAGGAAGAGAGGGAGAGGAAGGGAGGAAGAGGGAGAGAGGGAAATAGAGATGGAGAGAGGGAGGGAGAGGGAGAAAGGGAGGGAAAGAGAGAGGGACAGAGGGAGAAGGGGAGAAAGAGTGGATGAGTACCATTCAGGCTTATCTTCAAAGCCAACTGTGCAGATTCAAAAAGCCTCATGCAGCTCATTCTTCCTTTCTACAGGCAAGGAGTTCCCAAGCATTTCACATCAACCACAGACAGCCTCATTCTTTTTTTTTCACCTTTTAATTTTAACATAGAAGGCTGCCCAGCTCCATAGAGACTCTGGGCAGCGTTTGATGTTAGGAAGAGGAAAAAACAAACAAACAAACAAGCAAACAAAAAAAAACCAGTTGTATTTTCAGAAAAGACCGATAAAACTGATAAAATTCAACCAGGGAATCCTACAAAATTTTACTAAAAGGCAAATGTAAAATGCTTCTGTGAATGCTTCTGTTATCAAATAAAATTTGCTAGCAGAAAAAGTGCTATCAGATTCCTGTCTTTTTTTTTTTTTTTTTTTGCTACCGTAGGCTAAGAGAGACAGAATTTTTTAATAAGTTAGTATTAGGCGTGTATTGAGAACTGCTGCATCGTAATTTGGGCTTCTAAACGTATCTTGTTCTAAAGGCAACTTTAAGCTTTGCTTTCGCGGTTTCTGTCCCTGCATTATGGCTAAAGAGTTACTTCCTGACTCAACTTACTTCTCTGGCATGATAAAATGGAGCAGAGACCATAGCTCTCTGAGGGAATTCTGAAGGGGTGTCCCAGTGATGAGCAGGCGCTGGTTAGACTTGAAGTCAATCAGTGTCTTGTAGAGCAAAGAATCATCGTTCTTCAAGCGATGGGCTTCATCCACCCCTAGGAACGCCCAGTTGATGCTTCCGAGAACTGTCTACAGAGGAAAAAACAGATAGGGGTACAGTAGAGCAGTAAGGTAGAACATTTTAGGGAAGCCCTTTTCATCTACTCTGGAAGACTTACAGCTGTATCCCAAGTGTGAGAGGTTGGGATACAGAAAGAAAGAAAGAAAGAGAGAGAGAGAGAGAGAGAGAGAGAGAGAGAGAGAGAGAGAGAGAGAGAGAGAGAGAGAGAAAGAAAGACCCACAAAGGAATGGATTAGCAATGCTGGCTGTGGAATTCTGGGAGTTGAAGTCCAGATGCCTTAAAATTGTCAAGTTTGGGAAACACTGAACTATAAGAATCTAAAACTTTCTGAAACAAGATTTGACTCCTAGTAGCAGCCCCCCTTCCTGAGCCAAAAATGCTAGTGCAGACAGAAGAAACAAGATGACCAGGGTTCTGCTTTCTTCCAAGTAAAAAACTGCTTTAGCCCATCACCCACCTTGTCTTTCAAGAGTATCTCGTACGTTGTGATCAGCACGTTGAACTTCAGCCGTTTGGTCTGAGAGTGGATCCACTCGTACTCACGGATCTGAAGTAAAATAAATGAATAGGTTGGTTTGTTTACATCGCCATTCCCTTAACCTTGCGTTTCTCAATCATGGCAATTTGAAGATGTGTGGATTTCACCTCCCAAAATTCCCCCAGCCAGCAGAGCTAATTATACCACCTAATCATCCCACAGCTCTGTTATTTTTATACAAAAGCCTGATTCGCTCCACTCTCTTAAGCCAAAATGAAATTTGATTTTACTTTAGCAATAGCACTTAAGACTTATATCCTGCTTCACAGTGCTTGACAGCCCTCTCTAAGCCTTTTACAGGGTCAGCATATGGCCTCCAAACAATCTCGGTGCTCATTTTACCGACCTCAGAAGGATGGAATCAAACTGCTGGCAGTCAGCAGAATTAGCCTGCAATGCTGCATTCTAACCACTGCGCCACCACGGCTCCTATCCTGTCTTGGGAAAGCTGTCCACTGTAGTCTATTCAACAGGGTTAAACCAACAGTGGATCTGAGCATCCAGGCAAATGTGCGCATAGTTCCGCATGCCAGCTACCCAACACACAAGAAGAGGGCACTTTAATTTCTCTGCCATGCACCCTGCAACAGATCTGTCCAAAGATAAAAAGAGTCGGTCCTGGTCCCATTCATCCCCCTTCCTTGACTCCGGTTTACGCACAGTGTTCCTGCTCATCTGATCTCCAATGTAGACAACCACGTTGATCTCCGGGGCCCAGATTTCAAATTCCCTCTGCCATGAGGTTAGGGTTGACAAGGGCACCACAATCATGGAAGGACCATAGAGCTGGTGCTGATAGAAGAGGCAGCAGAGGAAAGAAATGGTCTGGATGGTCTTGCCCAAGCCCATCTCGTCTGCCAAGATGACACTGTTGTTCCTGAGGAAGCAAACGAGCAAAAGGGTCAAGACAGCCTAGCCACATTTCACAGTTCACACAGTGAACTCCCTTTCAATTCTGGAGAACATCTGGAGGCAAAAGGAGATTTGGATTATTTCACCAATGCCTTCCATTGAGGATCTGTATACTGCAAAACCAGAAAGAGGGCTGAGAAAATATCTACAGACCCCTCCCCTTTTGGACATAATTTAATTCAACTTCTCCACTCAAGACACCACTATAGAACATTGCGTGCCAAAACAACCATATAGTTCCCCCACCCACCCCCACCCCCCAGTGCCATCACTCTGCTAAGCGCTTAATCCCCACAGCACTGTCTCACTTCTCATCTTTTCTCATCTTCTTGTCTTTCCTACTATCTTCTCCTATTGGTTTCTTATGGTTAATCAATTGTTGTTTATAACATATGATTAATAATTGTAACTATGATTTATGACCGATTACTTGCTGTTTATATGTACTGTGAGCTTCTGCACTGGAGACAAATTCCTTGTGTCCAATCACACTTGGCCAATAAAGAATTCTATTCTGTTGTGTTCTGTTGTATTCTGTTCTACTCTACTCTACTCTATGCTACGCTACTCTACTCTACTCTACTCTCAGTGACCTGCCTGCCCTCACTTACTTGCACCAGGAGTGAGCCAACCAATTTAGGCCTTCCAGCTGATAGTCCCGGAGCTCCAGATTGTCTCCACCAATGTAGGAGGGTTGCTTTTTCAAGGCCACAAAGCGAGGTCTTTGCTTCAGCACCTAAAAAGAAGAGATCCATCACTCTCCCAGCTTGACAGACCTGTTGCTCTGGGGAATACAGGTAGTCCTCGATTTACGAACACAAGGGAGCCCAAAATTTCTGTTGCCAAGTGAGACATTTGTTAAGTGAAGGAAGGGAGGGAAAATCTGCAAATGGAGCCTAATCCTCTTCCGGAGTTGCTAATTTTCCACGTAAAAAGCACAATATTTATTCTAACGGAGTAAGGTCCAGAATTTGAAAACCTCCCTCTCCAATATGAAAACCTGGGCAGAAAAAACACTCATCTCCCTTGATAACTCTATTCTCTGTCAGAACAACACTACTATTTTAAAGATAAATCATTTGAGGGGTGGGGAAACCTCTTAATTAGGATTTAGTACAATGTATTTTCAATTATGCAGCTACTATGGCATATAAGTCTAGAGGAGATTATAGGCCACCGGGGAACTAGATGACCTCCAAGATCCCTTCCAAATCTGTTATTCTGTTAAACCAACCTTGCAGTCCCGAGTCGGCATGGCTTTGGAGTTGTTCCTACTGTTGAAGCTATCGATACAGTGCTGGAATTTTTTGCTGATCAGAGCTTCGTCTTCCCAACTACACTCTGCGTAAGGAAGCCCCATCCACTTGCAAAGGTATTCTGGCTCATTGGAGCAGGACTTGCGGTTGTGAGCTGGAAATATTAGGGTATGGGGTGGAGGGAGAGGAGATGAAGAAATACAGTACATGATAAGAGCCCAGCCATATCCTTAATGGGCATGGCAGAAAGGACAGGAGCATTTGAGTATTGTGCTCTACTGAGTTGCAATCAGACATCTCTCTCAATCCGTATCATTAAACAAAGCGTGTAAATCAGTAAAACGAGCGAGACCCCTTACCTGGAAATTCAGTTCCAGGAGTTGGCGATTTGTTTGTTTTCACCGCTGTGCATGAGATGAAAAAAAAAAGCATCCATAAATGCAATGATTAAATGAAATTAATTGATTTAATTTATATGCTGCCTTTATTATTTTTTATAACAATTCAAGGAGGAAAAATAATAATAGTAGTAGTAGTAGTAGTAGAGTTGGAAGGGACCTTGGAGGTCTTCTAGTCCAACCCCCTGCTCAGGCAGGAAACCCTTTGCTGGTCAGAAATTCACAAAGGGTGATCAAGTGACCCCGGGACACTGCAACCGCCATAAAGATGAACCAGTTGCCAATCATCTGAATTTTGATCATTTTGAATTTTGTGTCCCTGGGGATGCTGCAACGGTCGGAAGTGTGAGAAACAACCGTAAGTCACTTTTTTCATTGCCGTTGCAACTTCAAACGGCCACTAAACGAATGGTTGTAAGTCACGAACTACTTTCTCCTGCTTTCCTTCATTCTCAAAAAAAAAAAAAAAAGCCTTTCAAAAGAAAATTCCAACTTTCTTTTGAAAGCCATAAATGCCCTCAGTTTTCAGCCACACAAAGCACATTTTCCCAAGATATACAGGGAGTCCTCAACTTACAACCACCATTGAGCCCAGCATTTATGTTGTGAAGTGAAAAATTTGTTCAGGAAGTTTTGTCCCGTTTTACGACTTTTTCTCGCCACATTTGTTAAGTGAATCCTTCTGTTCTTAAATCGGTAATACGGTCATTAAGTGAATCTGGCCTCCCCCCCCCTTGACTTTGCTTGACAGGAGATCGCAAAAGGGGATCACATAACCCTGACTGCGACCGTCATAAGTGTGAGTCAATTGTCAAGCATCCAAAAATCGCGTGACCATGGGGATGCTTCAACGGTCATGAAGTGTGAAAAAGGATCCTAAATCCCTTTTTTCACTGCTGTTGTAACTTCGAATGATTACTAAACGAACTAGTGTAAGTTGAGGATTACTTGCAGATGAAGGATTGAACCAGAAATACACGGGATGGGACTGATTCACCTTTGACCCCAAACTCACCAATCACTCTTTCCACAATCTGGTACTGCTTGTTCAATTCAGCCGCCAGCTCCTGTTGGCAGTTGTAATACTCGATGTCTTCTGGAGTGACTTTTTCCAACCTGGGTACAAAAAAAACCCAAAAACAAAAAAACAAATTAGGGTGAGGGTTTTGGGTTTTTTTGCAACAGATGTATTAAGACTATTCTGATCTTGCTATTGTACCAAAGTTTTAGAAGCAGGGCTGGGCGCACCCCAAATAATCTCTTACAAAATTTCAATTTTCTTAAATTGTTTACAAAAGATGAGTGATTTGTTTTTCGTTGGAAAAAAAATAGGATTTTTTTTTTTTAAAGTCCCCAAACTAGTTTTTAGAGAAGTAAAAATGGCTGAAAGCTCCTGGAATTGAGGCCAGGTGGAATAGCCATATAAAACTTTGTGGGTGTTATCTGAAGAAGTAGCCACAGCCAGTTTTCACTTGACTCCATATAGGAAAGGGTTCTGTATCTTTGGCAATGTAGAAAAATCTAGTTTCCAAATGTCCAGCTTAGGAGCAGAAATTAGGATCCTGACTCCTAGAGACACAAAATCTTAAACCCTTTCATCTTAAATCCTCTTTAGAAGTTTCCTAAAGAGATGAGAAGGACACATCAGTGTCTGCAGGGGGGCAAGACAGTATTTTTTGCAAGGAGCTTGAGAGGTTTTTTTTTTTTTTTTGGATTAAATCCATCTCGTTGGAGTGTTTCTATCTAATCTGGTGGGGATCCACACGTTTTTAGTACAGGTAGTCCTCAACTTACAACCGTTCATTTAGTGACCATTGAAAGTTACAACATCATTAAAAAAAGCGACTTATGACCATTTCTCACACTTACGAGGGTTGCAGCTCTCTCCCTTGGTCCTGTGATCAAAACTCAAACCGCTGGCAACTGACTCACATATATGATGGTTGCACTGTCCTGGGATCATGTGATCCCTTTTGCAACCTTCTGACCAGCAAAGTCAATGAGTAAACCATTCACTTTACAAACTTGTAGCTAATCAACACTGGAAGTCTACCTATTGAGTCCTTACCCAGGACCTGGGATAGGCAGATGTGGATGTTTGATGGTATTACAGATATCATCGCAGAATGGAAGCAGTTCCTAGTAAGGCCTCCTTTTGCAATTGATTAATGGCAAATTTGTCAATGCCAATGGTGTTCAAGTGGTGCTCCAGTTGTTTTGGGATTGCACCCCAGGCGCCTATGACTATTGGTACTACCCTTGCCTACCCTTGCTTGTTTTTGCCACAGTCTTTCTATTTCTATTTGTAGGTCTTTGTATTTTGTTATCTTCTCCAGTTCTTTCTCATCTATTCTGCTGTCTCCAGGCACTGCCACATCCACTATCCATACATCATCATCATCATCATCATCATCATTATTATTACTTAACTACTGCAGCGATTCATTAACAATTGTGACAAGAAAGGTTGTAAAATGGGGCAACATAAATTTCAGGGTCAATTGTGGTTGTAAGTTACAGATTATCTATAATCCGATGTGTTCAAAATGCTTCTTGGGCCACCGAAAATAAAATAAAAATAGGTTGGGAACCACAGGTTGAACTCCCGTTTTCCATACAGGAAGCCCAGTTTTAATCCACATTCTTAGCAGGCCAGAAGGAAGAAAAGCCTACCAACTGTTGATTTCTTCCTCTTTCTTCTTGAAGTTCTCCAGCTTCTTGAGACCTTTCACTTTCTGCTGCTGCAAGGATTCCTCACTTTCCCACGTGCTGTGGATATACGACCAACCTTTCCATTTAATTAAGTACTGCACCTCCCCTTCCTCCTTTTCTGGGTCAAAATCGGCACAGGGATCACCGTTGGCTTCTGTTGAGTAGACCGTGGTGGAGGCCCCAGTGGCTGCCGAAGGAGCAGAGGTGAAAGTAGGTCAAACCTTGCAAAACAGTCTTGGGCCATTTGCTCCTACGGAGGGCTCCAGTCACTTAGCTGTACCCACTTCTAAGGAATTCCATTTCGTTTCCCTGACTAAAAAGTTTCCCCTACTAAATTTCCTGACAGTTAGAACAATTAATCCAGAAGTTGTGAATGCTCCAGAACTTTTAAGAAAAGACTGGACAACCATTTGTCTGAAATGGTATAGGATTTCCTGCCTGAGTGGGGGGTTGGACTAGAAGACCTCCAAGATCTCTTCCAACTCTGTCTACTATTCTATTCTATTCTATTCTATTCTATTCTATTCTATTCTATTCTATTCTATTCTATTCTATTCTATTCTACTCCTATTCTATTCTATTCTATTCTATTCTATTCTATTCTATTCTATTCTATTCTATTCTATTCTATTCTATTCTACTCTACTCTACTCTACTACTCTACTCTATACTCTACTCTATACTCTACTCTACTCTACTCCTCTCTCCACTCCACTCCACTCTCCACTCTCCACTCCATTCCATTCCATTGTGGTCAGCACTTAGCACTCCTTGAAAATGCTCTATTTCTGAGTGTGAGAGCCTTTTTTTCCAGTCTTTGTTGTGTTTTTCCATGACTCTGAGGGTTTTCCCAAACATGCTTATCCCAGAACTAAAAGGCTAAGTCTTTTCAAAGCCTTAAAGATCCTGTTCAGAAAAGTGGCTTGAATGATCAGTTGGATATCAGGGTACTGTCTACAGACTTAAAGGCATTATACTGGCAAAGCCCTCCCACTCTACCCTTGATTTGGTCCACACTCAGAAGTCTTTATAAAGTCAACACATTTCAATTTGCCTTGTTCAAGGCAACCCCCCCCCACCTCTCTCTCTCTCGCAATACAAAGCTAGTTTTACAAGGCCTTGTTGGCTACTATAATGAAATTGCCAGATATTATACGTCCCTAATTCCTAAACTGGGAATTTTGCAAGCTGTACCAAAAAAAAAAAAAAGGAGAATATTTGTCAGTTCAGGGTTGAAATGAGGGGTCCTTGGTGCTCGCTGAGCTTGGTGGTTTTCTTGCAGACATTTCATTACCCAAACTAAGAAACATTAGCACGGGTGATATTATCAAATTTGAGAAATGAAATGTCTGCAGGAAAACCACCTAGCTCAGAGAGCACCAAGGACCTGTTTGCAAACTGAGTTTGCAGTTAAGCATTCTAGAAGCAAAGATGCGTTCTCTGGAAGGATCCAACTTGGAGAAGGCTGCTTTTAAACCAGATGCCTATCTCGACTAGGAAGAAACACTTGTAGGAACATCTGAATCCCAGGAGTATTTTCCTGCACTCACCTCCTTTCTTGCCCATTCTCTTCTCCAGCACTTTCTCAATGGTTTCGCTGTTACTCTGCTGCTCCTCTGCTCCTTCTCCTGTCATCTCAATCAAGTCATCGGAATCGGTCTCAAAGTCATCGTCTTCCTTGTAACTGCACGAGACCATGTACAAGGACAGTTCAGGGTTTTCCTTCTGCTGAATGGGTTCTCCATGCAAATAAAGAGCAACTTCCAGACAGGTGGACTTCAAACCTTGTCACCAACAGCTGTTCTGACTCGGGAGTTCTGGGATTTGAAGTCCACCCATCTGGAAAGGGCCAGGACTGGCCAAACGCCAAACCAAAAGGATTATTTTTACAAGGTAGAAAGAGAGATTAACATCTCCAAGCCTGGTCTCCAAGCTTAAAGGGAAGATTCCTGGTGATAAGATGGCACAATGCTGGAATAGATTAGGGAAGTTGCGGGTTCATCTCTGAAAGTGGACAATAACTTCTCATGGATGATTTAATTGACTTTCCTGCCATTGTAGAGGATTAGATTAGACCAGTGTTTCTCAACCTTGACAATTTTAAGGCATGTGGACTTCAACTCCCAGAATTCCACAGCCTTAAAATTGTCAACGTTGAGAAACACTGGATTAGACCAGAGTTTCTCAACCTCGGCAACTTAAAGATGGACTTCAATTCCCAGAATTCTCCAGCCGGCTCCAGGACACTGCATAATCTGGGTTCACATACTGAGGTAAGCTATGGTTTGCTCAAAGAGGGCTAGGTAAATAATCCATAGTAACATAGGTTCACATATTCATTTAATGCATAACTAGATTAGTTCATGTAATGTATAATGGCTGGGTTCAGACAAACAAACCACCCCATGTTGGCTGAGCATTTGTGAATCCAGTTCTAGTTTTTTCTGCTATTACCTGACATTTTTGGCTGCTCGGCGCTTAGTTTGTCTTTTGGGAGCCTCATCTTCTTCATCATCATCATCTTCCTCTGATGATTCGGTTTTCCTCCGCCTGTTTGCACGCTGGGGTTTGCTGCTCCTTTTTGGGAGGGATTTGCTCGCTGTTCTGAAATGAAACAGACCGATATAGTAGTACCGTAGTAATAGCGAAAGTAGCATTAGCACTTCAAGTTATATACCACTTCACAGTGCTTTACAGCCCTCTCTAAGCAATTTAGAGTCAGCATCTTGACCCCAACAATCTGGATCTTCATTTTATCAATCTCGGAAAGATGGAAGGCTGAGTCAACCTTGAGCCAATCAGGATTGGCAGAATTACCTTGCAATACTGCATTCTAATCACTGTGCCACCACGGCTCAGTGGTTGTAATAGCAACTGAGCATTCTTCAACAGCAGACCAGGAAATCAACCCCCTAGCAAGGCTAAGGTTGCTGTTATTAGGTAAAGGATTCCCCTGTCCAGTTGTGTCGGACTCTAGGGGATGGTGCTCATCTCCATTTCTTAGCCAAGAGAGCCAGCATTGTCTGAAGATGTTTCCGTTGCCATGTGGCCAGCATGGCTATACGCCAAAGTTGCACAGACCGTTGTTACCTTCCCACCGAAGTGCTACCTATTAATTCACTAGCATTTGCTTGCTTTCAAACTGCTGGGTGGGCAGGAGCTGAACCAAGTAACAGGAACTGACCCTTTCCAGCTGACAATTTCAGCATTGTTAACTGTTGAGCCAGTTATTGAGACTGGCTACAAATAGCAGAATCTTGCTGTGCTGGACCTTCTCCTCTTCCTTACACTCCAATGAATTCAGGTCTCTACCTCAGCCACTTCCAAATGCTATATCACTGTTTTGTACTTAAAAAAAATGTTTCCACCCCTTTTGCCTAAGCAATGGTTCCTGTATATTTCAATCAAGGTCATCTTCCTTACTCTTGTTCTACCCTAGAAAGTTTTGCCATTATTCTGTCTTCCCGCTAGGCAAAGCTTCCATCATTGCACCCAGAATACCAACTCACAATGAAATGGTGGAAGAACAGGGTTTAGAGTGGGGAAGAATAAGAGGAACCTCAAAGAAGGATGCATCAGTTTTCTCACCTTCTTGAACAAAGTCTCCTGGATTTCACTTTCTTCACTTCTTGTTCGCTCTCTCCACTGGAGCCTTGATCTTCATCATCTTCTTCATCATCATCATCCTCAGATCCCTCCCTTTTCCATTTACCTCTGTGTTTATAAAAGTTGATAAAGAGTAATAAGCACGATGACTATCACTACGATCCATTATCATGGTTGCTGTTACTTTTACATGCCAACTAATTAAACACCCCCCCAAGAAATAAGTAAGGAAGCTCTAGATACACAGAATATTCACCTAATGTTAGACAATTAAATTATTAACTAGAGCTGTGCAGAAATAAATTCATACAGAATGTGCAACCTCCTTAAAGCAGCTGCATCTTTTCTTGAGATGAAGCGGCTGCCCTTTGCGGCCACCTGCGAGTTCAGGAAAGGCAAGCCTGCTTTAAAGAGCTAAAAACAGCTGTTTACTCCAAAGCACCATTCAGAAAGCCCCCCCCCCGCTTAGCTCTACTATTCACAATAACATCTGTTCAATTAACAGTAAGAAAAGCAAACAGTTTGGTTAAATACACACAATCCCAGTTACTCAAAAGACCCCCTATTTCAAACTTCTGGCAAGTGTGAAAAGAGACATGAGGTCTCATAGCTGGGATATAATTGTAGTTTCCAGGACAATTAAAGCTATTAGGGGAGGAGAGTCTACAAGCCACATATAGTCAATCGAGGCTCTCGCATGGTCTAAAGCAGGAGTGTCAAACTGACAGCCCGCGGGCCGGACGCGTCACATGGAAGCCGCGCCCACCTCATTGCCAGCAATGGCAAAACCAGCCCGATACGTTGCGCAACGTCAAGTGACATCGCGAGTTTGAAATGCCTGGTCTAAAGCAGGTATGATTGTGTCACATGTGTGATAAGGATTAGAATTAGTTCGAGCTGACAAACCGGCATTTATTTTTCTCTGCTGATCTTTCCTTGTGTCTTCTGACTCAAACCTCTTGTAGAAAACCACATCACCACGATTTTTAGTAGTTTTTCAGTGCTGGAAATGCACCTCAGTGATCTGGAGGTAGCCCTGAAGCATCCGCACCCATATCTGGGCTGCAATGTGGCTTGGAGAAGAGGGAAGATGATCTGTAGGACAGCACCAGCTGTAGCACCATTGTTTCTTTGCACAAAGTTTCTTGACTGTTCCTTTGGAGGGGGGGTGGTTTCTATGTTTTTCTTTTTTGAGGGAAGATGGGAACGATAAATGGGACAGGAACACTTTGGCTTAAGCAACTATCCAGAAGTCTTTCCACAATTAAGAAGATAGTAAAATTTCCGTCTTTTGAACAGAAACAAGGAACTCCTTCTATCCTCCTTTATTTCTTTATTCATCCAATTTGGAATGATTTTTTTTTTTTTGCATCTGACTCCTTCAAGACGGCTTCCGGATCAACAGTGAACCGAAAATGGACACCCCGCCTTTTTTTTTTTTTTTTTAAATAGAACAGCAATCTTTTCCAATCAGGACCCTTTGTTTAAAAGTCATCAATCCCCTCACAGCCAGGAGGACCACTAGGCACACTCTTGAGATTATGGGATGTAGAAATTCACCCGCTTGAGGAAAGCTATTCTAATACTCTGCACGAGCAGAATGTGTGACGGGGCAAGTTCGCCACAAACACCTGGCAACGAACATCCCAACCACCCACTGCAGGCAAATTTGCTTCCGAAACGAGGCAGAGTCCTCGTAACTTACATTTTTTTCACTTGCCTTGGCCCTCTTCTTTTGGGACTCTCATTTTCAGACTCGCTATGCCCCTTGAACGGAAACAGAGAAGGAGGGAGGGAGAGAGAGGGGATGACCAATAAAAGAGGCTGCTGGTTGATGGCTGCATATTTTGCTGCAAATATCGTCGGCATCCACAAAAGGGGTTGGACACGCCTTGGGCTGACGCCCCAGATTTAAAGCCAACACCGTCAAAAGGGAGACATTCACTACCATACAGCAAATAAATAGGCCACACCCTTTCGGCCCATGATCCCAACAGTTCCAGTGGTGTTGTGTTGTGTGTGTGTGTTTTTAAAGAAACTCTGTTATATCGTGAACACAAGTGGGCAAAGGTACTTGAAAAAGAAACCCCAACTGAAGACAAGAGCCAAACAGAAGGAAGAGGACCAGGTCACCGCTAATAGCAGCCACACACCCGAGGCTTTCCAAGCGTAGCAGAAGACAGGATGCAAGCCGCAGGAAGGGAAAATCCCGCTCACCTGTACGTGGGCTCCCCCTTAAGGAGAGGATCAGTAATGTGGGGTCCTTGGTGCACTGATGATGTTACCTAGTTGGGTAATGAAACGTCTGCAAGAAAACAAGCAAGCTCAGAGAGCACCAAGGACCCAACAGTTCAACCCTGAGCTAGAAATATTGTCTTCTGCCAGTTTAGGTGACTGCCATACCTGGCTTTCAAAGACACATCGTGAGTCACACTCCAGAAATTATGAGGGACCAGGAGCAACTACTCCCCCCCAAATGGGGAAGGGCTGAATAAGCACTTCTAAACTTTCATTTCAATTTAAAATCATATAATGTCCATTTCATACTTTCAAAATCTTTTTGTTTGTTTGTTTTTGTTTTTGGATTTAATAGCATTGGTAAGCTGCTGAGAGTCTCCCAAATGCAGTGGGTAGGAATCCATTGATTAATTACCTGAGACCGGTAATTAATATATGCAAAAAGAAAAAAAGAGAGAAAGAAGAGGAGGAGGGGAAGGGAAACCCTTAAAATTCATTTCCTAATTTTTATACAAAATTACTCTTACGCTTACATATATTTATTAGATCTTATACAATTAAACTATTGGCAAATCATTCTGTTCACTCACTAGTAAGGAAAAAGAGAAATTATACACGACAGCTAAATGCCCATAAATCTGGATAACCTAGTCTCAAAGAAAAATTATTATTATTATTATTATTAAATAACTGGATTATTAAATAAATGGACAGCTCGTTCAGTGCAAAATGGTGCTCAGAGGCCGGACTGTTAAGAGTCAGATTTACATGACATCTTGTATGTAAGGATTCTCACAGGTGACAGGGTGAAAGACAGTGTACTGCTGCTGAACAAAACAGCCACAAAAATCTGCTCAAGACTGACAAAAACAGATTTAAAAATTTAAAAATCATCCAAGTATATTAGAAACCAGTAAAGAGACGAAGATCTTCACAGTTAACATTGGACAGAGCCCTACAGAGTCCTACAAGATCTGTCTGTCTGTCTGTCTGTCTGTCTGTCTGTCTATCTATCTATCTATCTATCTATCTATCTATCTATCTATCTATCTATCTATCATTCAAGAAAGGTTTTATACAAAACAATTGTTAAATAAATTCTGGTTCAGTTCACACAATGACAAAGCCAAACATAACAACAAATCTCATAGGGGCTTGGTGTAATACATATTGTGAAGTTCAGTTGCACGAACACAGGCCTGGGATCCAGAAGTATTTATTAGAAAAATGTAACCTGCCCTTAAGTGCCCTGGCCCCAAAAGGGAAAAAGAATGATAATAATTAGAATCATGACAACGTCGTTTTAAAAACCTCTGAAGATGTTCTCTTCTGCAATTTTTTTTGCAATGCGGTGAATCCAACCTGAACTGGAGAGAGTTTAATTCGAAGACAAGATGGGAAGGGTCAAGAGAATAATTCTTTCTGATGCAAAATGTTCAAATCTGGTGCCTTCTGCTAGGCACCTAAATCCATATATAGGCACCCAAGCATAAATGGACCCATTTTTAGAGGACTCCCTTAACGGGAGGAGCGGGTGCCGCTTGCCTTTTCAGGTGCTCGAATATAAATTTAGGTGCCTACCTTTGGACTTCCAACTTTAACATTTTCAGTCTGATTCTGAACTTTGCTGAGCCTCATTTTCTCCATCTGTAAAAAACAGAAGGGAAAACTTGCTTACCCGCTTTGGACAACGGTCATGGTGGGAAATGTGCACACAAACGGGAAAAAGAAAGAAGAAAAAGAAAAAAAAAGTGGGAGAATCAGTCACTCACAAAAACGGCACAGAAAAGGTGGCCAGTCCAGTAACCACACTGCCCCAGAAGGTGATTTTGGATGGAAGCGAAGAAAAGAAATGGTTTTGATGTCTCGGCCATCAGATGGAAAAAAAAAAAAAAAATTAACCACCTGAACTCATCTCATGCATGGGATTCAAGAGATGATTATATCTATAATATAGAAAGGGAGGTAAAAGGTTTAACGCGAAGGAACAACACAATATATAAACACATCACACTTTTTATCATGCACTCCTTTGGTCATGCCATCTTTCTGGAATCTCAAGCAGGGCTGTTCCTGCAACTTCTCCGTGCCTCCCCCAAAGGGGCTTTTTTTAGGAGACAACTGAACTTTCTTGTTTTTCTTGGAAGACGTTTCGCTTCTCATCCATTCCCCACTATCCAGTCAGAGCTGAAGAAGCTTCTTGGATGAGAAGCGAAACGTCTTCCAAGAAAAACAAAGGAAGTCCACTTGCCTCCTGAAAAAGCACTTTTGGGACAACCATGATCTAGATGACAGAGAATGACATCTCCTTGTCTCTCCCCACGGACAGATTGCCCAAGACTTCAATGAGGATCATATAATTTCCCATTTGGACCCAGGAAAGGTCCAATGGACACCTTTTTTTGACCTGGGTTCAGTTGCAGAAACAGCTCTTCAGGACTGCAAAATGAAACCACTGAACAGAACAACTGGGCTCTTACATTCTAAGAGTCCAGTAGCTTTTGCCCTTTATGGGTTTCCTCTCCCCTTACCTCGTCGTTTATAGTAAAACGCGAAGGCTCCTGTCTGCTACGATTGGATCGTCTCACCCCGTAAACATCGGGATATTCTTCCCACATCTGCAAAATAAAGCAAGCCGGCATTTGTATTCCCTTAAGGCAGTGGTTCTCAACCTGTGGGTCGCGACCCCATTTGGGGTCGCCAAACAATGCAGTCCGCCATTTTTTCCCCCCTTTTCTTTAGCTGTGCTACTCCCTTTTATTCTATTGGCTTTTGAAAGCCAATAGAATAGACTCTCTTGAATAGAGTCTAATTCTATTGGCTTTCAAAAGCCAATAGGAATTGTCCAGGTTGTCTCTGCCCTGCTGAGCCCGCCAAAAGTCCCATTCTGCAAACGGTGCTGCACCAGTTGAGTAGTCCTCGACTTACGACCGGTTGAGTAGTCCTCGACTTACCACCGGTTAGGGGTCATGGCATTAAAAAGGTTGAGAACCACTGCCTTAAGGCATGCTAAGGGCGCTGAAAAGAAATTCATCTATTATAGTCTCCTGGCAGTCTCCTGTGATATAGGCTGGACTACCTGAATGAACAAATTAGATGGCAGGTGCAAAGGATCGGGACCACCTGTTAAGTTGCAGCACAGATTTATTCAAGCCTATATACCCAAGAATCTAGTCAACTAAAGTTCAACGCTAAATTGGCATCAGATAAGGATCAATGGAATTTAGGAGGGGTTGGACCTGGACCCTTTGTGGGAATGCAATGATTCTAAGCTGATGACGTGCTTAATTCCATCCCCCAGCTCTGCCTGCTCTTCTCCTATGTTAGATCTTTCTTGGGGCATAGGGATAGAATTCAAAATGCTTTAAACCAACACTCAAAACATGATCCTCAGAAGACCCACAAATCCCAACCAAGCAAAATTATCACCCCTTTCACCCCTTGACCTTCCCAATCTGCCAAGTTGTCCCCACTTTTAGCAAGGCAATGCTGTACTTTTTTGACGTCAGCTATCCTTTCTTTCTTGGATGCTGGTTTCTCCTTAGCTTCCGGAGGGGTCCGCTGAGACTTGGATGCTGTGGACCCGCTCTCTGATTCGGACTGACTTTCTGAAGACTCGGAGCTGCTGTTGGATTCACTTCCATGATCACTGCCTTGCTCACTGTCTGACTGGCTCCCCGAGTCAGAAGCTGAGCCCTCTTCAGATGCCGAGTGACTGTGGAGAAAATAGCAAGATTTTGTTTACCTGCAAGGATATAAAGCAGGTTATCGTTTGAGATCTCCAAAAATTATATGGTCTTATTATTTCTTCTAGCAATACATCTGCATAACTATGTGTACTTCATTACCTTGGTCAACATGCCTCCATCACAAAATCCATCTAGTTTGGTGGGATCTACTTCAGGCTTTCCCCGATTCAGAGGAAGTTAACTGTCATGAAAATTACAACTTATCTTTTTTGGGATGGGGGAAGAGGAGATACTCAGGTTTGGAAAGCTCATCTACCTACAGGCTGAGCCATTTTGAGGTTTCAAATGTGCATATTATTTTGCCAGACGTACAGAAAAAGTTACAGGGCTGGTCAGAAAAACCTCTCGACGAACTTTTGAAAGAAGCTCAGAAAGTATATGTCAGGAGAGGTGAGGAGAGGGATGAACGAAAAGGAAAAATGATGGTAGCAACTATGAGGGAAATAGTAAAGCCAGAGAAAGAAAGAGAGAGACCGTTGTTAAAAAGGAGGGATGTGGGGCGTTGGCCACCGGAAAGAAGATGGCCACCCTCCGATGAAAGGAGAAGACCGAGCCCACGGTCAGGTATGGCCAGGTCGGCCATTTTAGGAAAGATTGCCCTTTCATGAAGGAAGAGCTCTCCATCAGCTCTCCACTGACTGATGGAGAGCTGATGGAGTTCGGATTGGGAATAGACGGTACTGGCTCTGACCCAGTCACTCTCATTACGATAAAAGTAGTAAAGATAGAAAAACAGAGTAAGCAACATAAACTGTTCCATTCTTTCTATAAAGAGTTGGGAACCAAAATTGAAATACCAGCCATCACCCAAAATTTGTTGTTTGATTTGGCTGAAAGAATAGTAGCATGTGGCTAAAATGGGCCTATCAACTGGATCCATGGAGAAGGGACAGGTGGCGTGTCATCGGGACCAGGAGATATTTAAACCGTTGCCAATTCTGATCGTGTGTGGCTTCTTGATTGTGTTAATTAGAAATCCACCAGTCTTTGCAAATGCTTGTAAATAAAAAAATTTTTCAGTGACCTCCAAGTCTCTTTTGAATCTTAATGTTAACCCAGACACAGGGTTTACAAAAAAGGACCATCCAAGCAACCAACCTGGAGGCTAAAACATATAAGGAACGATTGCTGGAATTGGGTATGTCTAGTTTAAGGAAAAGAAGAAATAGGGGTGACATGATTGTAGTGCTCCATTATTTGAGGGGCTGCCCCAAAGAAGAGGGAGTCAAGTTACTCTCCAAAGCACCTGAAGGCAGGACAAGAAGCAACGGATGGAAACTAACCCAAGAGAGAAGCAACCTAGAACTAAGGAGAAACTTCCTGACAGAACAATTAATCAGTGGAACAACCTGCCTTCAGAAGCTGTGAAGGCTTCAACACTGGAAGTTTTTAAAAAGAGACAGCCACTGGTATGAAATGGTGTAGGCAGCGTTTCCTACCTGAGCAGGGGGTTGGACTAGATGTCCTTCAAGGTCCCTTCCAACTTTTCTCACTATTATTATAACCATAGCAACTGCCCTTGCCATTCCACACCAGATGCTGTGCATCACTTCAGTAAATTCATGGTCAATTCTAAGGCTGGTTGCTGGACCGTTTCAGATTAGTCTGGTCTTATTCAATTTGTCCATTTTTTTTACAATGCTGCTTGCCATTCATTAATACAGCTCAACAGATCATTTGCATTTTCAGTTAACAAAGTGCTGCTGTCATCAACATAGCAAGGAGATTGATTCTTCTTCCTCCAATTTTAAAACCACATTCAAAGTGCATTATAAAATAGCCTATTTGGATCTATTACTCAACACAAAACAATTAGCAATAAAAGCTAAAAGGCTAAGCAGCTGGAAATAAAATCAGCAATAATACCAATGTATAGGCATGGCCAAATTTATAGGCCTGGATTACAGCAGGCTGTTTCTTACAGTTTTTAAAAACAAGTTTTCTCTTTCCTCAAGTGGAGTTCACCAAGAAAAGAATCTCATAATATCCCTTCAAAAAAGAAAAAAAATATCTTGCATGAGTCAATGAATTCAATGGTAGGAACTGGGCTGAAGAATTAAAAAAAAAAACCTCTTCCAGGTTTTATCTTGTGGTAAAAGGGCAATAAATTCCAGATACAGATCCCTGAGCCGAGCACGTGACACAATTGTTGGCATGTACTGCAGTGCATTAGAGCATTTATTTTACTTTAAAAGGTGTGAAAAGCAAAACATGGAAAAGCAACGGAGTGAAATTAAAATGCATTTCTTTAGGAAACGGGCAGAGGGCAGCAAGAAAGCAGGAAAGAGCAAGCTTTGGGCATGCAGTCAGAAGCCATTTTGAAAACATGATCTGTGAATAAGCCACCATTTTACGGCTATCCCTGCATTGCTCCCTCTGGAGCCAATTCCAAAGAGAAGAATAAAGTAATTGCTAAAAGCATCATTAAGCAGAAGAAGTTTGGAAAATGCTGGGACTAAAAATAAAAGGGTTGCACAAACAAGAGCGAAGGTTTAATCCTTCTTTTCTTTGTTCTGGGAAAATGGAAAAGGAACTCTTTAGGATTCAGACACCTGAATGAACAACAAGCCAAGAACAAATGAAAACAAAAACAAACAAATTCCTAGAAACCAGCCAGCCTTTAAACTTTCTTGAGAGAGGGGGAAAGAGTATTAAATTATAACTAATTGGAATTGAATAAAGTTACCTGCCCTGCCTCTAGATATTTTAACATGCTGTCAGAACAGAAAGGGACTTTGGAGGACGTCTAGTCCAACCCCCTGCTCAAGCAGGAGATCCCTTCTTAAAAGTCTCCAGTGATGGAGCATCCACAACTTCTGGAGGCAAAAAATGACTTTAGTATTTGCTTCTGTTGTTTTGTCCAATTATGGAGGGGGAAAAAAGGCCCAGGTTTTGTGACCTTTTAGTCTAACTAAGGCAAAAGATCCCAGATTTTTTTTCTTGTGTTAACCCAGTGCAATACTAGCATTACCCACGCTGCCATCTAGTTCTTCAGATCTTGTAGCCCTGCAGTGTAGACAAGCTTATAGACCAGTGATGGCGAACCTTTTAGAGACTTAAGTGCCCAAACTGCAACCCAAAACCCACTTATGCATCGTCGAGTGCTGGGTGGGCGTGGGCCATTGGGTGGGCATGGTTGCAGTGGTAACAGCAGACTGGATGGGACTAAAAAGTTCAATCAATCAATTCCAACTTTGCAAGATCTTTTTTCCCGCAAGAAGTTGAAATTGACTGATTGAACCCTTTTTTTTTTTTTTTGCACACAGCGGCGGAGGCCTAAAGCGAAAAGGTTTTATAAAACCCAGCTGAAGGCCTAGGACTTGGGTGACGGCGCGCGTGCCCACAGAGAGGGCTCTGAGTGCCACCTCTGGTACCCGTGCCATAGGTTCGCCACCACTGTTATAGACATTGCTGTTGCCAACCAAAACACTGCATGTTCTTCACTTTTAGATTTCCTGCGCTAATTCAAGGCACAGCAGAACAAAACAGCAGAATGAATTGGGAAAGGAAAATTAGTTAGGAACAGAAAGTTGGGCTTGCCGAACTCATATAAACATTTTTTAATGAAGGCAGATTTGAGTTCTTAGGGAACGCTATCCCTCAGCACCATCAAGCTTCAGATAAGTCTGGCTGCTCATGCTTTCTCTCAAATCATAAATAGAATTATATCTAAAGACGCTAAGAGACAGGAAGGCTTCACACAATATGCAAAAGTGGCACATTTGGGACTATTTGTTGATGTTATTTTATTCAATTTGGATGCCACCCAATGCTTCATGTTGTCCAAGTCCAGACAGCATTCTTAGCTTAGGGTTGAAAGTGTTTGACAATCTAGACAGACTTATTCAATGAACGATAGTTTAACTAGGGATTAGTGGGCTGTATGAAACAACCAGACACACAAAAGCTAGCTGTCTATTTAACTCCAGTCACAAACTCTAAACACAAAAGAATATGGCTCCCTTAATATCTACACATCAATTTTTGTCATTAAGGACCTTCCACATTTGTCCTTTAAAAGATGGCAACTTGATGGGCTCAGAAGAAGATCATTAATTAATCTCCTTTTAAATAACAACCGAGAGAGCTAGTTTGGGAGTATGCTTAAAAGAACCAGTCTAGAAATTGGAAAACCAAAAGCTCTAGTCTTGGTTTGTGTACCAAGCCAACTGGATGACCTTCGGCCAGTCCTTCTCTCTCAGCCCTAGGAAGAAGGCTATGGCAAAATACTTCAAAATACTGGCATAGAATAGAATTAGAAATAGAACAGAAATAGGAATAGAATAGAATAACAGAGTTGAAAGGGACCTTGGAGGTGTTCTAGACCAACCCCCTGCTTAGTCAGGAAACCTTATACCATTTCAGACAAACTGTTGTCCAATCTCTTCTTAAAAACTTCCAGTGTTGGAGCATTCTCTTCTGGAGGGAAGCTGGTCCACTAATTAATTCTGTCAGAAAATTTCTCCTTAGTTCTACGTTGCTTCTCCCCTTGATTAGTTTCCATCCATTGCTTCTTGTCTTGCTTTCAGGTGCTTTGGAGAATAGGTTGACCCCCTCTTCTTTGTGGCAGCTTCTCAAATATTGGAACACTGCTATCATGTCACTCCTAGTCCTTCTTTTCTGTATGTATGCATGCATGTGTGTAATATCAACCAGGAAATGCTGACCATACGTTTGAAGGAAACACATCAGATTAAAGATTCGTTTTATCCATTATGCTATGCCATAATGTGGTTTCATTGATTTCAGCGTGATATGGAAACTTGGTCACTGTGATTTGTAAGGTACAGTTTGTGAAAGCTCTCGACAACAAGGGTATGGAGTGCAACTCCCAGAATTCCTCACCCAACATGATCACTAATGAGAACTCTGGAAGTTGAAACCCACACATCTGGAAAGCATAGATATTCAGGAAAGGTAAATTAAAAGCTAGTGTGTTCTTTTTTTTTAAGTTAAGATAGAGACCAGAAATGTATAGTTTGTATATAGATATATTATATGTCATTAATGTACAATGTGGACTGAGATGTCAGTCAAAGACGATTTACCATGTTCAATGTTTTTAATCTTTTTTTCTTTGCACTTAATAAAAACTTATAAAAAAAGCTAGTGTGTTCAATAAATCATAATGAAAACTATAGGCACACTGGCTGGGAATTCAGGGAGCTGGAGTCCAACACATGGAAAGGCACATCTTGAGGTTGTCAATTACTAAAAAAAAAAAAGGCTGATTAATTTATCCCAGATTTGCCAGGCATGAGGCCAAGGAAGGTGGCACACAAAATTGCTTGCTTGCTTCCTTCTTCCTGCAGAATCCGAGGAATCTCTTGGCACCTTAAACCAACCACACAACAAAGTGTACCTACCAACTCCAAAACAGTCTGGGGGAGTCCCCTAAAACACCCGGATGGGGGTTCCCGTTTTGACTCTGCTGCTCAAGAGGTAGAGGATATCTGTGCCTAGACACCAACTTGACTTCTGAGTATGTTTCAGACCCACTTCTATGGCTTTGTAGCAACAAGGCTTCAGGCTGTTTCATTTGTTACCTAGTGGCACATAGATGCAGCACAAAGTCAAATGTTTTGGTAAGCCACATCTGTGAAAAAGCCATTTACAAAGAGCTTTTTTCTTCACTTCCCCAGAGCTCAGTTTTAAAATGATTATCTTATTCTTCTAAGCATCAACCTCTCTGGAAGTTCCCAATCAGAAAACTGTCCAAGGTTGTTCTGTGAAAGCCTCCCTCCATCAAATCTAGCTCTACCCATGCAGAGAGCAGCTGGTTCCTTGTAACAAACCACATCCATCCTTGCCAAACAGATGCCCTGTTTGTCTTAAATCTGTGATGGCAATCCAACCATTGTGGGATGTTGCATAAGACCAACCAATTATGGTTTAATGACTTCATTCCATGACTTAGCACAGTGTATAAACTGGATCCCTTAGCTTTGGGAAGAAGGTGTAGATATATTTATTTTAAAAATCAACTTTTTAGCAAACATATTATTTCCCAAATTTCCCTTAGATAATCTGATCCTATCGCACTCATGAATCAATAATAAAATTATCTTTCAGAAGGCCATTATTCATATTATGTTCCAAACTGTACAATCTACATGGAAATTAAATGGATGCAGATACATCAAAGCTTCTACCTCCCATTTAAGCACCGCTTAAATATCAAACCCAAATTCATGTATTGAAATTTCAAAAAATATTGAGTGGCGTCTGGCAAAATGAAGGCTAGAGATGTAATGAGGACGAATGTCACCAAAAATGTCCCACCCCATGGTTATTAAGGTCTTTCACAAGTCCCATAAGCATAATCACTCAATTCCATTTCCCCTCAAAAGACAGGAGAGAGATGGTGGAGAGAATTACTTCAATTTCAGAAGAACTAGAATTTTATATTTGTTTTGTTTCAGCCATTTTTTTCTTCCCTGTGGATATTCATGACAGACGCTGGTTTCCAACTTAATACGTAAGACTTTTCTTCAAACAGCACTGTGAAAAATAAATAAATAGCGCACAGAGAAATACACAAAGTAACATTTAAAAGGTAGGTTGAAAAGCATCTGTGCTACTTGAAACCAAATCAAGACGGTGTTTGAAATGCACCAGGATGTTTGTTTCCTTTTAATTCTTTTTTGGGGAAGAGCTTCAGCATAGCCATAAATCCCACCGTTTCCATCGATCACAGCCTGCGCAATTCGCGTCAGGGCAATACGAAAAACTGTAAAACTGTAAAATGAAAATCCAAAATGGCTGAAAGGCACTAACCAGCTTATGCAATATAGATGCTTTGTGTAGAGTTTTGAAAATCCATCTCCAAAAAATTAAAAGTACCCCTTTTGGAAAAATACCATTTTTAATGAAACATTTCAAAGAGGCGCAAATCAGATGAAATTGAGTTGAAGTACATGTAGCCCTCGACTTACGAAAGCGACTGAGCCCAAAATTTATGTTGCTAAGTGAGACCTTTGTTAGGTGAGTTTTGCCCCATTTCACAACCTTTCTTACCACATGTGTTAAGTGAATCACTGCGGTTGTTAAATTAGTAACATGGTTGTTAAGTGAATCTGCCCCCCCCATTGACTTTGCTTGTCAGATGGTCGCAAAAGAGATCATGTGACCCCGGCACAGTGCAACCGTCATAAATATGAATCAGTGCCCAAGCATCTCAATTTTGACCACGTGACCATGGGGATGCTGCAAAGGTCCCAAGTGTGAAAAACGGACACAAGTCATTTTTGTCACTGCTGTTGTAACTTCAAACGGTCACTAAATGGCCTGTTGTTAAGTCAAAGCCTACCTCTAAAAAGATCTGCGCTTTAGAACAAATTTTCCTATCTTCTAAGTGCTTTCTAGGCACGCTGGACTACAAATTCTATCAACTTCAACGAAAATAAGTTTGTGGAATTAACACGTAGTTTGAAAATTTTTAGAGGGCTTACAAATGAACTCCAAAAAATATAAGCTAGCTAGAGCAGGCTATTTTTTTTTCTTTCTAGGAAATTAAATCCGGTGGTTGACCTGCTCTTATGATGAACAAGATAGCTCCATTTCAGAACAAGCAAGCAGAAGAAATGAAACCATCCATAAATTACATTTGAATGGTGATAAAGATAACAATAGGGAAATCATTAAGAGCAAAGAAGCATTCCAGAACTCATTCCTTTTAGCTAAATGAAATATTTTTTCTGTGGACTCTCTCGCTCTTAGCAAAATGAAATATTTTTTCTGTGGACTCTCTTGCCAAGATGTACATAGAGATTTGTTGCAGTGAAAGCACCAGTTTTTGCAGATTCTCAGTATTTCTGCAGGAGTGCTGAGAATTAATTTGACAGAATATTTTAGAATTAGCAAGAGGACAGTATTAAATACTGTATTACAATCCCTGTGTGTCAAACAACAAAACCCAGACAGTTTGAAAGGACACCATGCTTGGACTGGAGCAAGCATTTACCCTCTTCCTCCCCACCCCCAAATATTTCTTTCAGGAAATCTATTTTAAAAATGTTAATTAAAATAGCAAGTTCCAAGCACATCTTTGAGATAAAATCAATGAGCTTCCAAGATAAAATTCACAATCTGTCAACTGTCTTTACTGCAAAGTGTTCTACCTTTTAATGTCATCTCTCTACAAATTGTGTTTCATTTGAACTCTCACACAATCATCCTGGTGTTCAAGATGACAGGGAATGGAATCTATCCTATGAAGTACATTCAGCCCTTGGAAAACCAGAGTTAAAGATTTACCAATTGAATATTGCTGTTCTTCCTCCCTCTTCCCCAATCACACACTAAAAGGTGAGACATCCCCCCCCCCATACACACATACCTTTTATGGTAAATCTCCTAAATGGGCAAGGGGTGGGGGGGAAGGGAGTGAACCTTGTTGACTTGCAAAGCAGTGAGATGTCACCCACACTAAAAAGTGTCAGCACAAGATATCACAGGATGAAATCTTGCACAGGAATTTATGGGCTCAATTGCAGCGAAAGCTTTTGACGACTAAACAGGGTTAGACTTCAAGTCTGTCTGCATCTCTCTCTCTCTCTGTGTGTGTGTGTGTGTGTGTGTGAACTTTTCCATTATTCCTCAGGAAATGATCTATGCCACAGAGAAAAGGGCAATTCCGAAGCCCTGTCTTCAAAACATTCCGATCCATTTCTTCATTGTGTCAAACACTTTTCATAAACACGTTGGGAGTGCTTCTCTCCAGATTTTGCAAAGAGTACTGGCAAATGACACACTTTCGGTGCCATCCTTTCCCAATCCTTCTGTATTTATGGTGGCGTGGCTCGGATCATTTGGCAGCTGATGAGGACAGGAGCTAGCTTTCCAAAGCTCCCCCCAGACAGAAGAAGGCACAAAGAAATTTGCACTGGTTGCCTAATCCTTTGGGCTGCCCTCTACTTTTCCTCTTCCAAGCCCGGGGCTGGCAGCAGCTCGGCTCGCTTATTCTCTCTCTCTCTCTCTCTCTCTCTTTCTCTCTCTCAATCTCGCTCTCTGGCTGGCTGCCTGCCTGAAAGGCATCACTAGCAAGAGGGAGGCTGGAAAGGGATGTGCAAGGGAGGCAACGTCATCCCGGAGGCAGGGCTGCAGCATCTCCGGGCCCGCCTGTTAGCAAGTGAGACAGCAGCCAACCACAGCCCGCCTCCAACCCAAGATGGCCTTTGAACTCTCCACCAACTTCCTGCTGAGGATTCCCCCCCCCTTCTCTTTTTCAAAGGAAAAAAAAAGTACACAGTGCAATGCAGTATGTGTCTGTCAGCTCTGCGGCACAAAGGAACAGCCATTTTGTGACAATCCAGACCTGCGGTGAAAATGCCTAATGCTCTCATTCTTCCCTTCTCCTCCACCTCATTCTCCACTGCTCCACTGTTTTGGGCAGAATGTCAGCAATCCTCAAGTCTCTCAACATCACCCTCCTCCTCCTCCTTCTCTCCCTGCCTTGGTCCTTGCCTCCCGCTTTAAATATCCTTTGTTGCAAGGGTTGCTTCATAAAATGGCTGCCACTAGCTGAGCATTTGGTGAGAGCCAGGGCGGTGTGAATGTGCAGCTCCTCCAGAGAGGTGGCAGGGGAAAGTGCTTGCAGGAGACCCTCCCCAAGGGCCTCCACTGGGAGGTGAACATGCATGTTTGAACCCTGCATTGTCTCAAGGCATTCCACAGAGGTGGGTGGAGAAGCAGAGAGAAATAGAAGACCTTATCCTTGCTATAACTTGAAGGGGAAAGTCCTTATCATCATATGCTTGCCCCGGTCCCAGGCATCTGACCCAAACTGATTATTATGGTTTAGGCCAGGCCAGCCGTGCTAACTGCAAGTCCCCACTGAATTCAGACTTAGGGAGGAAAAATATGTTTTGGGGTGAGAATGAGAACACACTCCGGGGTTACTCGCTAGCCCAAACTTTTACAGAAATATGGAGAAGCTTGCAATACCTGAGGTTTACACTTCTAGAAGCTCCATATTTACAGGATCCCTTTGCTGTGACAATATATATGGACATTCTTGTCCTTGCTTTTCAGAGCAGGTGAAAAATCTTCCATTTTCAAAAGAACTTTGATTAGCGCCCCAAGACTCAGAACACTTACAAGCCCAGCCCATTGGGGAGTGCCCCTTATACAGGCTTGCCCAAATAATTTAAATTTTAATTTAGGATTGCCTTTCTGCTCTTCTTCAACATTACCATGTTTCCCTTGTGCATTTTCTCTTTTAAATCCTTCAGAAAAAGCACTGCTAGAAAGTGAGGTAGAAATGTAATCAATTAATGGTGCAAATGTGTTTGTGTGGCTTTAATGAAGCATCCTTTAACCAGCTTACTTTGGATGGTGGTTTGCATCATTTTTTTTAGGACTTGGTACAATCCTTCTTGAACATGAATTCTGTTACAGAAGAAAATTAATGAAATCTTTTAAAAACTCAACATTCTTGGTGGACTATCTCAGAGGTTTCGTTTGCAACACCTAAAGTACTTTTCTGAAATATTTAAGTGAAAAAGCTTGGTCATGCTCAGTTATTTAAAACTATCTTCCAGGATTAGAAAACCAGTTAATTTTGACCATTTGTTTCATACCAGGTTGTAGCTGAACATGGATGTGATGCTCACCTCAGCAAATTATAATGTGATCATTTCTCCATTAGTACTATTTGAATACTAAGGAGTATTCCAGACACCATTAGCCAAATTTATCCTTTGAAGCTGTGAAGTGGGGTTTATGCTTTATTTTTTACAATAAAGCATATCTGATCAAAATACTCCCAGGAAGAATGTTCTTTGTACAATGGATGCTTGTATTTATAAACAAGGGGGAGGCCCTTAGAATGGCATTTTGTAGTAAGTAGTGAGGGGCAAAGAAAAGTTTTTTTTCTAAAATAAATATTTGTTACACCCATCTTTTACGTATACCTTGCTCCCACCCAACTGCACACTTATCTCAAACAAATGATGTCACAAATGGATTAGGTGCTTTTCTGCCCCCAGTCTTACAGACAGGAAGTTTCAGATGCAATGTACACAGAACTTCCAGGATGTCTTGCTAAAACAATTTCTGCACAAACACATCTTTAACTTCCCCTCCAAAAAAAGTTCATTTTACAATATGAAGAGTAGTTGCAGTTCAGAAAATAAGCTTTACAACATAAACTTTCAAGCAAGGCCGAGTTATCCTTTCACAGTTCATTTGAACTGAGTGCTGTCAATATAATTAGTGTCTTATTTTAATTCAGTTGAGTGTTAACATTTTGCTTGATGTAGTACTCCTTTATTACCAAGAAAGCAAAACTTCACGTGTGGATGCTATGCAAATAATATACCCAAGAGAATAGAAGGGAAAAGGGAAAAGGGCTGGTTAATCTAATTTCTTTTCATTCAACTCAGTTCTGTTGTTTGCAATAGAGAGCTGTTCTCATCAATGTTGAATCTCCTTGTTCAGTTTGTAAAAAAAAAAGAATGAATTATGTTATTTTAATGTAGATATTGGCATGCTAATTTCAAAGCTAACTTTTTTATCAATGTCAGCAATTCGACTTTTACCACTGTCTTTTGGAGCTAAGCTTCAAAGATCTGAAAGTTATGCAATTAAAAAAAAAACCAAGTTCCTTTATGTTTTTTTCTGAGAATCAAAGCAGCTTCTCCAGCATCCAAAAATCTCGGATAAATCCATATAAGATTTTAAATTTTAAGTGCTCTCTTCCATTGTACTTGTTACATCAAAGGCTTTCCTGACAAAAGGCCTTATTTCAAATGGTAATGTATATAATGCATTGAAAAACAGACCTGATAAAGTATCATGTGTATTTTAGAATTATAAAAATATTCAAAACCTGAAAAGAAAGAATACAAGTAACAAGCCAGGAAAAGGTCAATAAACACATTGCAAAAATATTAGAATTCTCAAAAGATAACTAGTTTCCATTAAAGTATGGTCAATATAAAAGCATAAACAAAAAAAACAAATTTCCTTCTGTTTCCCTTATAAAATATCAGCCTAAATATATTCAGCATCAAAATATGCATTTAAAATGAACATGCACAGAACCTAAGATTCCAAGAAATTATGCCTTAAAATAACACCTTTTTGTAAAATATAAGCAAACCCTATCCATGAGAAAGCTTGGAAACAGTATCAAAATATCCTAAAATGCTGAAATAGTATCAAAGTTCCTTAGCCCGAACTGAATATACAAGCAAGAAGTATCAAGCAAACACACGTATTCTTCTTTTTATTTTAAAATAAACATTTTTTCATTCATAGAACTTTCTGTAGTCTCTGATTTACAAATACCATCAGGCTTCTGTCAGGCCTTCACTTGAAGTTTAAACTCCACAAATTCTTCAAAGAAAAAAAAAATCCCTTGTATGTAAAATGGTGCAATGCAGCAGAGGGAACAAGGTCATTTTTCACAGCACAAAACCCCTCAAAATGCAAAATTTAGCAGCTGAAACTGCATAATATACAGGGTTCCATCTGTGTAAAGGTGCTTTACTTTTTAAAATAGAGCTTGGGGCCTTTCCACTCACACCACAAGTTTCAGAAATTGTTATCAAAAAAAAAAAAAACAGGGTGTGGCATATTAGCAGTCTCAAGGTCATTTTGTAAGGAAAGAATCAAAAGCACTGAAATATATTTATTTCTATCATCAATGATGGCAAGTCAAAGCTGTCAAAAGGTTAACAGTTGCTCAGAATAATTTAAAAAAAAAATAAAAGTTGAGAGATCATACCTCGATGCATGGCTGTGGACGGAAGCCTCCTCTCCTTGGCTTTTGTCCGTATTTCTCAACATCTTTAAATTCTTAAAATGTTAGGGGAAAGGAGGATGGCCGGATTGGGGCTGAAGTCCTGTGCCCAAGGTATTTACTGTCAAAAGTTGAAAGAAAGGTAAGCTCCCACTTTTGCTTTGAGAGGTTTCCAACAACAAGAACAAAAAAAAAAGTCCTGACGCTGCAAAGCTTGCTTAGAACAATAATACAGAAGGGACATCAGGCACGGTAAAAAAATAAAATAAAAATTATCTTTCAAAAAAAAGAAAAACCGCGAAGGAAACACAACCCTGGGGAGCATCCTGCAAACTTTCCCGAAGTCACCCCTGGAAGCAAGTATTCTCGGTATTTTATTGCGTCATTCCAGGATCGTTGAAATCGGTCGAAAAATAACAAAATCCCCCAGTCTGGGGGGAAAAAAGGGGGCAAAATCCCCCTCCCTAACAAGGCATAGCTGATCATCGCTCACCTACCTGAGCCAGGCTCCAGCGCCAGGTCCAGCCCGCTGTTCCCAGCCGTGGGAAAACACTCGCTTCCGAACGCAACGCAATGGGGAAAGAAAACAAACTCCGCTTTCTTTTAAAAAATAACCCATCCGAAATTAATCCAAACGATCCGCGATCGTTTCATCGCCATCGGCAATCATTGCAGGAATAAGAAGAGGGGGGAAGAAAAAAAAGATCCGGAGGGGGAAAAAAAAAAAAAAGCTCATTAGGAGAGCTGACAAAAATGGAGGTACGCCATGGCTTCCAAGCTGGGAAAAACAACGACCTGGGCTGATTCTTTCTAACCAGGCGAAGGAGGGGAAAAAAGAGAGTCTCCCCAAAGCTCCTTTTTCTGCCCGAAAAACGCCCGATCCCCCTGGCCCCGGCCTCCCCGAGAGACCAGGGGCCGCAGGAGCCCCTCGAGGACGTCCAAAAGTTACACAAAGTTGCGCAAAAGTGGCGGAGGAGAGGGGGGGAGAAAAAGGCAGGAGGCTCAGCGCGCTCTCCAAGGCACAGCCGCCATCTAGAGCTTTCTTCCCAGCTCTGAGCTCTGCCTTTGATTGACACTCTACATTTACCCCACAACTCAGGTGATGTACCATAGACCCACCCCTTCATTTCCACCCAAAAGGAAAAAGAAGGGAGCCTCCATCTAATGGGAGCTTGCTCCCCATCACTACTGTCTCCAGCCAACTCCCATCTGTGGAGGGGGCAACTGAACTCCAGCTGGTTCAGACACCCTTTCTAAGCCAAAAGATAAATTATTGGTTGCTTTTGTTGGAAAGGGGCTGGCTTACAATTTAGATCCTTGGACTAGAATTACTTCCTCCCTGGACAGGAAGTTGTGGTGCAAAGAGCCATTTTGAAGGGAAGAAAGTGGGACTTGGGGCTCCTTGGGTTAGCATGGGCAATGGGTATGGGTTGGCAAGCACCCCAATGGGTAATGTCAGTAGAAGTCATCTCTTCAACGGGTCTACTTGGTTATGACGATCTTATTGGTTCTAAACCATTAACTTTAGGAGAATTCCAAACAGAAGCAAAAGTTTTATGTCATCTGCCACTCGAGACTCAATGGCGCCTCCCTGGTGGTTCTATCCGGAAGGGGCAAAATCAGATCCATTGCGTTTTGGTCATCTGGTACCAAGATAATTGTGAAATAAATCCATGTCAACTGGACTACGTAAAGATCATAAACTGATCTTGTGATGTAGCTGAATTATAACGGTATTTCTGCACAAGTGGGACCAAATATCAATATTAACAAAAATCGCTTGCAACTCATAAGCAAAGATAAAACCAGCATTCCGTCTTCAACCATTTCCATACTTGGAAGTTTTAGGGTTTTATCATGACCCCTAATATCTGGACAAAGGTCTTGATCTAGAGCCAGAGACAATCAAAATGACTCACAAATTGTACTACTTATAGTAGCCATCATTTGTCATTTCTCCATATATTATTTCGGTCCAAAAAAGGTCCAAATCACTCTAGGTGAACAATCTGATAGCAAAATACTTAACAAAGTTGCCCAATTACAGAGATTTGGGAAGTGGCCAATTAATACCATTATTCATAATAATTTTTAAAACAAATTAAATATGCAAGAAATTCCATTAGCCTAGAATTAAGCCACCAATGAAGCAAACAGAAGCATCTAAAGATGGCATAAATGGCCAACTATCCACATTTACTTCAAAAGCATGATTACTCCTTTCAATAAAGTCAACGTCAAACATTAATTTTGCATTTTAGATAGTTTACCCTCAATATCTTTTGTACATCAGTATGCCACTAAAATGAATCTTGTATGCAGCAATTGGAATGGAAAGTTAAAAAGATTTTAGTAAATGTAGTAAAAATGGTAAGATTAATTTTTATGGAAAAAATAAGACAACTGGTTTAAAGATTTGGACTAAGTTCTTTATCCAACTCTTAATGAACTGGAGCAACCATGTAGTAGCACCATGAATGTTTTGGACACCTGTATCAACAGTAAACCAAGTAGTATTGTTATGTATGATCAAACCCACATACCACAATGAGGAAATCTAAGTATATAAGTATTCAGAGAAGCAGGTCTCAGTTTTTAGGTACATGAATATTAAATTTGCCTTAGAAAGGTCCTGAGCACAGTGCCCATCCACAGATCCACAGAAAACACACCATTAGATTTGTACCTTTCTAAGAATTGCACCAATTCACCGATGTAAACTATTAATGCCCATCTTCATTTAACAAACATTAAGAGAACATGTAACTCTGACATTATACAAAGAATAATAACAATCATAATACAGAACATAAGAACTCTCTTAAGTTTATAATCTTACTGAAAAGGCAAACTAAGGAATCATTTAAAGTTTTGAAATAGTTGGTGAAAGTATTGAGCTCCTTCAATAATCAAACAGTTCTCATCAATACCAACAACAAATCATATAAGAATGTTTCGGCCCAAAAGATGACAAACAAGAATAAATATGGAAAAAAACACTTTTATTTAAACCATTTAAATAGCAATGCACTTCTGCCAATTAAATAGGGGACAGACATTTTTATACATTCCTGGTTTGCAAAAATTTGATCAGCCCCTTCCAGTGCTTCATCCCCAGATGAGTGCTAAGCCCAAGATTCTGGAAACACAGTTTTTTTTTTTAAACAGAATTAGCTCAAATCTTCTGTAGGTTAGACAATCGTTGTCCATGCTAAAGAATCCCTGTCTTGGATGGAAATACTCAGCAATCATGCACTAGTTCACTTTCTGAACCTCTCAGCAGTGGAACTGCCATCTTGATTTGGAAATCGTTGTCTCCCTTTGAGTTTCTTCCTTTCTCTGGACTCTTTATAAAAAAAAATTAAAAGAAAATGCTGTTGGAATGCAAGTAATTTTATCCTTAAATTTAAAATAATCAACATTTAACTGTCATCTCTGAGCATATTTGAAAATATTTTCAACACTTTTTAAAAAACTAAATGAATATCAAGATTAGTACTATTGAATAGTAATATTTTCATATCAATGTGCAGTGCATTTTGTTTTTTAAGCTTTCTGCTGAAAGTAGGATCTGGCTTATAATCCAAAACAGACATGACTTCTGGAATTTTAATGGGCAACAACATAAAAGCAAAATGGAAGCTTCAGTGTTAGAAAATGTATTACTTTTGCAAACAATGTAGCACTAGTAGAGAAACCAATAGATACCTCTCCTGCTAAAGATTTAAAAGGTGTCCAAAAGAAAAGCCTAAGGAAAAGTACTAAACAAGTAATTTTATCAGATAATAGAACTGATTGTATATAAAGTTATCTCAGCTTACTTATTTCTAATATAAGATTCTTTTATTCTGGTTTATGTAAGTAAAAACTGAGAAAATTATTTAGACTTTTACAAAATTCCTAATAACTTATTCTCTCAATGTATGCCTTACCACCTGAAAGTTACTTTATTTCAGGTTTAATTTTATGTGGCCAAGGAGCCCAGCTTGTTTAATCAAAATGACATTGTAGCCTCATTATTTTCTTGTCCCTTCTTAACCATAACTTAATTATCCCCCTCGGATTTCACTCTAGGGGCAGGATCCAACAGATGAAGCAGCATCAAATATGCTCATTTCAAGGGAGGAGATTTTCTGTGGAGAATTTCAACAGATCTACCAAAATCAGGGTCTAAGACCTATTTCAAGTCAACATTTTCTTGAAAATCTGTTTCTAAAAAAGCTTCAGAATTGAACAAATTTCTTTCTCACAAAGCACTAGCAAAACATATTAATCACTAAAAACTGTGAGGGATAACTGGTACTTTTAATATCTGGAAAAGTTAGGGAATGGTTTATTCATCATACCATTCTGAATGTAGCTATCAAATAAAAAATAGGAAGCTAGGGGTGGAGAATTTATAGTGATTGGTTCAAGAATATTAATGTTGTGTCATCCCTTGATTGGCTATATCAAGAACCTCCCATTTTCTTATCACTACCCACTATTACACTGTACTGTAAATGCAGCAGCATAGCATAAACTCAAGCCACCATTTTGTTGCAACCAAGTATCTTAAAGGCATCTTAGATTCCTTGCATCTACCTTAATTATTCTCCTCATCACATGCTAATGTATACATTATTTTCAATTGTTTCAAACGAAAAGAAATATTGACAACAAATTCATCAAGTCAAACCATTTTGTTTTTGCAGTGACTAGAAATCCAGCAAAATGTTTCATGGTAACAAAACCAGATCAAAGGGGAAGAAAAACCCCTATGTTTATCTATGTTGAGAATAGATGATAGCTTCTGTTATTATTCCAAAGACTATATAGGATAAGCCAATGTTTTAATAAAATGTCCAACCACAAAAACATTCAACTTAAGCTGTTTTAAATATAATTTATCAACAGAAATTTATTACTTATGTTCTATAACTGGGTACAATCCAACTGAAGGGATTGTATGTACCACAAATGACACTACTTCCATTCTACTTCTATAAAAACACCACAATCTAGATATAAAATAACAAACTGGACTCTCAAATTTACATCTCAGTCATAAATAACTACAAACATTTGAATAGTTGCCATTCTCCATTTTTAAAGGTGAATTTAGCATTTTCCCCAAAGCT